CTTTGGTGAGCGTCCTCCAGGATGGCCCCAGGATGCCCCCCAAGGCTCCAAAGAGTGCCCAAGAGGGCCCCGAAGGGCGCCCGGGAAGCCCTGACAGGTCCCCGAAAGGTCCTCACGAGCCAAGAGATCCCCGGGAGGCTCCCCCGAGGCACCCAGGACGCCCCAAGACGCCCCCAGGACCGCCCAGAGGCTTTCAAAACGGACCAAGAGGACCACAAGAAACTTTCAAGATACATTCGAAGAGACTCCGAGAGGCATCCAAAAGGCCTCTTGCTTGGCCCTCCTTCTCCTCTTCTCCTTTCCCCCTCTCCCCCCCTCCCCCTCCTCCTCCGCCGACGACGACGATGACAAAAACAGCGATTCCTTTTCAACCGCCCCCCTGTTGGGGCACGACGGCTTCCCCAGCGCCTCATTCCCTGCGTGCGCCTACACATCTCAGATCAGGGCAACTCGCCTGGGCATCGTTTCTGTTTCTGGATGGGCTGGTGGGGCTACGCTTTTTTGGTCGCGGGCGGACTTGGAAACGCAGTCGCCGAAGGAGAGGTCCGGGCCACGGACCTGCCGAATGGGCTGCGCGCGAGCCCAGAGCGAAGCGGCCGGGCCCGCACTCGGAAGCAGCGGCCGGTGGGGCTGCAGCTGAAGGGAGGCTGGCTGAGCTGCCTGGCTGGTGGGGCTACGCGCAGCGCCTAGCATTATCCGGATGAGAGACCAGAGGTCTGAAACCCACATGCTTCGACACAAATCAAGCCGTCCAATGGCTGGGATTGAATTGAAGGGAAACGTTAGGAGGGGGCAAGTTCAGGGGGGGTGAAACATCGAGCTAGAATCGGCGATGCATTGTCGATAGATCGGCGATAAGTCACCAGCGGCGAATCCGCGTGTTCCTGGGAGCGGTTGGCTATCAGCCCCTACTGGCGAAAAGCGAGCGAGTGGGGTCAATGCGCCCCCACTGAGTAGGGCGGCGAGATCTATACATATCCACTGCTCCCTGGCCAGGCCCAGGCTGAACCCAGCAGCGGTGCATACGCCACGCCCTCCTGGCTTGGCCAGGAGGGCGTATACACAGCTCGTGAGCTCAGGATGGGCCTGGCCGGGGAGCAGTGGATATGTATAGACCTCGCCGCCCGACTGAGGAGCCTACTCCCCTTTAACGCTGCCCCTGCTGAGTCTGTGGGCAAATCGGTAGCAGGGTACCGCCTGCAAAACTGCCTCCCCAGAAGTAACGCTCACCGCCAATAGTTGCCCAAACACGAATCGAGCCGCCACTTCCGAACCTCTCTCTGGTGGGAAGGTTTCGGGTGCATGGCGTGAAGCGTGAGAGACTAGATCAAGGACGGACAGCAAAAGAGACATCGGAAAACAAAACAAGGATGCCGTCGAGATGCCGATCCGAACATGCTGCTCGGTGGAAAGAGCTGGGGTTGGGCCGATGACCATGCTTCGGCCACTCGCCCGATCAAGCGATCGACCAACAACTCCTGCGTATACAGCGCTCCCCACCGGTGCACACGTCACACGACAGCCAATGTGTAACAACTGTCTGGCTAGCGACGCCTCTCCTCCGTCCCCCGCAGCCCCCTCCAGGAGGGAGTGCATGGTTCGCTGCCCACTCGCTAGGCAGAGGATGGCATGCCGAAGTCGATTGGCGGGCTCCAGAAGTCCTGACCCCCCTTAATAAATAAAGGGGCCCCAGGACACACAAATAAATACACACAAAAAAAACTATTCCCCATATTTTTCCATATTTTCTGGGTTTCTGTCTTCCCCCCCACTTCCCATATTTTCCCATATTTTCTGGGGAATCGAGGATTAATTGTGTCTGTGTGTTCCCTTTCCTCCTGAATAGAATAACCTTGACCTTTGGGGCAAGGTTTTGCTTCCGCCGGCGGAGCTGCCCCCGTGTCGTCTCCGCCGCCTTCCCTGCCATCGCTCGGACGTCCGCTCCCCGTGCTTGTTTTCCGCAAGGTGACGAAGAGGAGGAGGGGGAGGAGCTGAGAGGCTCTTCGATGGCCCCCGCTGAGAAAAACATGCGCGCGTCCGGTGACCTCTTGGTGCGCGGTTCCAGGGGGCCGCGGCGACGGTGCATCCAAGCGCGCGGGCCCGCGCTGCGGGGACCCCAAACAAGCGCGACCACCAGATGCCACTCCAGCGAGAGGTCATTATCCTCCTCCTCCTTCTCCTCCTCCTCCTCCTCCTCCTCCTCCTCCTTTTTTTCCTCCTTAGCGCTGGGGAAACGGTCCCTGGACCCTTGGGCCCTCCTGCAGGACGGGCTTCTCCTCCTGAGTCGCTCCCGGACGGCCCCGGGGCCCGTGAGAGAGGGCCCCGAGCGCCCGAAGACGGGGGAGAACCTCCAGACCGGTCTCCCCCAATGGATGGAGAAAACGGCAGAAACGTGAACGTTTGGAGGTCCGAGTCCGCGCGGACTTCTTGGATCCGAGCTGGGTTTCCTCCCCAGCGCTCGGAGCGCGCCAAGGGCGGAGTTGGAGGCGCCGCCGGGGGGGAGGTCCAGCGCGGATCCCAGACAGCCGCGCAGAGCGCCAAACATTTTTGCTCGTGCCGTTGTCTCCCGCTCGATCCCCCACGGCAAACTCCTGCTTTTTGTTCGCGAGCGCGCAGGGTGCCAGGCGCCGTCAGGAAATTGCCAGCTCGCAGAACCTTAAATGAACCACTGGGGGCGCAAGAGCGAGCTGCGCAGCGGCGACCCAGAGACGGCAAACCCCTACACGTAGCAGGCCCGTTTCGCCTCCGCCGGCCTTCCGCCGGCCTCCCCAATTGGGGCAGAGGCGTCGGCCGCGGGGGCACCCGAGGGCGGGGCCCTCGTGCTGGGGGAGCGCCCCGGCTCGCGGAGGGCAGAGGGCGGCACATGCCGAGAGGCAGCTCGCGTGGTCCTCCTCTTCCACCTCCTCCTCCCCCTCCTCCTCCTCCTCCTCCTCCTCCTCCTCCTCCTCCTCCTCCTCCTTTTGCGCGCGCGCCCCGCAGGACAGTCTCGATCTCTGCGCGGCAGGGGGACCATTGGAGGCCTGGGGGGGGGAGCTGCTCCCTGGTGAGCTTCAAATTGGCCTTGTGCCCCCCACTCTGGTTGTTGCCTGGTGGGGCGCACTGCTCCTTGAATTTCCTGGAGGCCCGAACCCGCCAACACCCGCACCGCCGACACCAAAGGACCCCCCGGCACACAGCGAGGTGGGGTCGATGGCTGGGGTGGACGGTAAGGCCTCCATCGACGGCGGGGGCGACCTCCTCTGGCTGGGAATGGCCTGCTCCTTGAGACGAACTCCCCGCAGCCACGGCAACCTGGGCTTCCGCCGTGGGCTTGGTGGGAGAAGGAGGGCGGAGCGAGCGGGCACAAGACCTCCTGTGAGCCTTCTTCCCGCATCGGCCACACGAGACCTGGCCTCCTTGGACCTGGGGCCAGTGTGATGCCGCCCCCCAAAGATACGGACAAACCTTCTCGCTCCGCTCCTGACGCTGAGCTCGCTCCGTCTCGGCGGGGGCTTCTTATACTGGAAATGGGTCCACCACATGATCTGGATTGCAACCAGCCGCCCACGGATCTGCTCGGCGAGTGTGTCCAATGCAAGCACTCGGTTGACCACGCGGCTCGGGCGGCAGCCTCTCCAGCTTATTCGTCTGCTCGGCCATGAACAAACAAGGCCCAGGCTGGAAAACGTGCTTGGACCTCGGGGTCGGTGGCGTGACTTTTGACCTTGAGGTGCCGAACAAACTTGTCAATCTTCTAACCAGGGCCTCGAAAACTGGTCAATCTTCTAACCAAGGCCTACCATGAGTGGGTATCCTCTTACGGGGGGCCCTGTTATGCCCACATATGAGGTAGGCTGAATGGCTGAATCGGTGACCACTATGAGGTCCCCTTGTGCGTGCCTGAGGAGCTCTGTGGACCCTTTGAGCTCTGCTCTGGTGATGGTCTGGAGCCCCACGACATTCCCTTGGAGATTGCCGAGAGGCGTTAAATCTTCATCCCATTCACCCGCACCCCATCCAGCTCGCCAGAGACGGGGGTCGGAAGAGAACGCGCCTCCTGAGCCTCTCCAAAAGGATGGGGTACTTGGGTGTGGTGCCCTCTACTGCCTTCAGTGCAAGACCTGCGGGGGTGAGCCCTCGGAGCCACAAGCACGCTGGTTGATGATCCCCTTGGGCGATGTCTGCTATGTCCTCCATACCCTGGATGAGGGGGTGCTCGCCTCCTCCTCCTCCGCCTCCTCCTCCTCCTCCCCTTTCTCCTCCTCCTCCTCCTTCTCCTCCGTTTCCTCCTCCTCCTCCTCCTCCTCCTCCTCCTCCTCCTCCTCCTCCTCCTCCTCCCCGTCCTCCTCTTCCTCCCTCCTCCTCCTCATCCTCCTCCTCCTCCTCCTCCTCCTCCTCCTCTTCCTCCCTCCTCCTCCTCCTCCTCCCCCTCCTCCTCCTCCTCCCCCTCCTCCCCCTCCTCCCCCTCCCCCTGCTTCTGCAGGGCAGGGCGACGGGACCCTGTGCACATCCGCTGCCCCAGGCCCATGCCCGCACGCGCCGCTCTCCCAGGCCCCGCATGGGGCCAGGCCTCGGGCCAGGCCCGGCCCTTGCCATCGCTCGGACGTCCGTTCCCCGTGCGTTTGTCCGCTTCCGCGCGTGCTCTCTTGGCACAGGCGGTCCAGGATGCTCCTCGAGGATCCTCCCCGGGAAAAGACATGCACACGTCCGCGGGCGATGCCAGGGGCCACGGGCACGGGCGATCCAGGATGCTCCTCGAGGATCCCCACCGAGCGATGCCAGGAGGAGGAGGAGGAGGAGAAAGGAGGAGGAGGAGGAGGAGGAGGAGGAGGAGGAGGAGGAGGAGGAGGAGGAGGAGGAGGAGGAGGAGGAGGAGGAGGAGGAGGAGGAGGAGAGGGGGGAGGGGAGGGGGAGGAGGAGGAGGAAAAGGAGGAGGAGGAGGAGGAGGAGGAGGAGGAGGCCACGGGCGCGTGCAGATCGTCGCTGCCCCGGCGGAGACGCCGCAGCGGCCGGGACCTTTTTCGGAGGGGAGCCGCCCCGCGCGGGGCGCCGAGCGCCCACGGGCGCCGCGCACCGAGCGGGTCCGCGGAGGAGGCCACGCGGCGGGAGCGCCACATCCGCCGCCGTGCCCCCTCAGCACACGCAGAGGCGCGGGGGGAGTCTTGACTGAAGGGGCCCCAGGACACACAAACAAATACACACAAATAAAATGATGCCCCATATTTTCCAATATTTTCTGCGTTTTTGTCTTCCCCCCCAATTCCCATATTTCCCATATTTCCCTGGGAATCGACGATTCATTGTGTCTGTGTTTTTCCCCTCCTGAGTCTGGACGTGCTGCAGGTCTGGGGCAGAACGAGGCCACCGCGAGCCTCGAGCCCCCAGGACTCGGGGGCGCGCAAACGTGGAGCGGCGACCCCTGGATCGCGCGGTCGCCAAGTCCATGGATCGGGGGAGGTGCCCTCCCCAGAATGCGGCCAGTGCCGCCTCGATCGGCGGCGGAACTCCGCGATTGGCCATGGAAACGGGGCCCGTCGCTAATCCACGCCCCCTGAAATCCATGTTTGCGATCGCCCGAAAGACACAGCGAACCGCACCGCTAGCCTTGGGTCGAGCATGCCCTCCTACAGCCGGAGTGTGGAAGACACATCGAACCAGCCAGACAAAGACTCGAAACCGCCGACCCCGTGCCGGCGTGTGGAAAAAGGCTTTTCGCTTTGCCTCCTCTGACGTTTTCCTGTCTGCCCCCTCTCCGTCGTCGTCGTCGTCGTCATCGTCGCTCCTGCCCCTTTCCCAGGCCTCCCCCTGAAGTGGTGAAGCAAAAGGGCATTGAACAATATCGCAATCGCAAAATTGAGCCACGTCGTCATTGAGTCGAAGGGAAGCCCCTTCCCTTTCATCCCTTCCCCGCCGGGGGAGTCGGGAGCGGCCAAGAGGGGGGTGTCCAAGAGGGGGGTGTGCAAATCATGACCGGCGGCATGTGCGCGGCCCAGCGGGGGGGCCAGGGACATAATGAAATAAGAAGAGGCGCCATGAAATCTGCGGAAATATCATGGCCCACGCCATGATATCCACCCCCCCCTAGTCATCCCCCCCCTCTTTGCCGCCTCCGAGGGAGGGGGGGGGTCCCGGGCGGGGTCCTGGGGAAGTCCCGGGGGGGTCCCAGGTCAGATACGGTGCCACCCCCTGGAATCCCGCGACCAACCAACAAAAGCCTCAGGACGAGCCAAGAATGTCCCAAGAGACCCCCACGAGACCACGTCCTTTCTCCGTCAACATCTGCGGGCACGACTACCACCCCCGAGAATCCTCCCCAGAGTGGGGGGGGGACAGGAGAGAGGGGGTGGGGTGGGGGGGAAAGGGGAGAGAGGGGAGAGCAAGCTAGGTGTGCGCGCGCGTCATATCTGACATCCGACCCCTCCCTCCCATCCCTTACTATGGCGTAGATCCCCTCTCTACTCGCACAGTCGGATGTCGAGCAGGGCAATGATCCCGAAAGGGTACGCGATGCATTGTAGAGCACGGCATGGCATGGCGTAGAAGAGCACCGCAAAGCGTAGTATGTCACAGCATTGCGTGGCGTGGCGTAGTGAAGAATTGCATCACAAAGCTTTGCAACGCAAAGCATGGCATCGCACAGCGGCCCCGAACATAATACATCGGCGTTACAAAAGCTTCGTCATATAATAAAAGTCGATCATCTTGCATAAGCAAAGACAAATCCCGCCCCGGTGGGATTTCTAGAACCGTGTGAATTTACGTCGGGATTTCAAGCTGCCCCGTTTTAAATCTATACTATTATAGTAAGGGATGATATCCCATTTTTAGAAATCCCGGATCTTTGATCCGACCACTCTTGACACTGTCCGCTAGGATTCTAAGGGGGAAGGGGGGGCCAACTCGGCGCGGCCAGGGCAGTGGTCAGCCTCTGCCCGCTTGCTCACGCGGAAGGAAGACACGAAACCCATGCCACCTTCAAGCTCTCATGAAACGTGACGAACTTTTGGAACGGCGTAGTATTGCATAGCATGGCGTTGAAGATCAAAGCGTAGCATGGCATAGCACGACGTGGCACTTAAGCACTGCATATCACAGCTTCAGCTGAAGGCATGGCATCGCGCAGCGGAACGCAACCTAGCAGTGCATGGCATGCCGTGGCATGGCACGGGAAATGACGCCAGCGCTGCAGCGGGAGCACGATTCGGAACGAGCGGAAGCTCGGAAATGAGGCCAGCGCTGCAGCGGGAGCACGATTCGGAACGAGCGGAAGCACGGAAATGAGGCCAGCGCTGCAGCGGGAGTACGATTCGGAACGAGCGGGGCCCGAAAATGAGGCCGGCGCCTCAGCGAGAGCAGCATTTTGAAAAAAAATGCAAGCGAAAATCCAACTCCGGGGAATCCTGTATTAAAATAGAAAAATATACGCGGGGGGGGGCGAACACTCCCAACCCGTCATCAGGGGAAGGAGGAGAGTAGTATTAATATTGAGTAATTATACAGGAGAGAGGGGGGGGGGGGACAGGAGAGAGGGGGGGGGACAGGAGAGAGGGGGGGGGAAAGGGGGGGGAGTGGACAGGAGAGAGGGGGGGGGTGGACAGGAGAGGGGGGGGTACAGGAGAGGGGAGGGGGGGGGAAAGGAGAGAGGGGGGGGGGGGAACAGGAGAGAGAGGGGGGGGAACAAGAGAGAGGAGGGGGGGTGGGGAGGGGGCCGGGATCATCACCATTTCCATCACCATCACCATCACCAGCACCATCGTCACATCACCATCATCATCATCATCATCATCATCATCATCATCATCATCATCATCATCATCCTCATCATCCTCATCATCATCATCGTCATCATCATCCTCGTCGTCACAATCATCATCATCATCATCATCATCATCATCATCATCATCATCATCATCATCATCATCATCATCATCATCATCATCATCATCATCATCATCCGGAGCGCCCCACATCGGCGGCACTGGCCGGAGGCCACTACAATAAACACAAACAACCGGATTCCCCATAATTTCCCATATCTTCTAGATTTTGTCATCCCCCCACTTCCCATATTTTCACATATTTTCGGGGGAATCGGCGACTAATTGCGTCTGTGTGTTATTCTCCCTCCTGAAACAGCGCCCCCCCTCCAGGCGGGACCGCGCCCGCCACCAGCACGGAACGACGCGCGAGGAGCGAAGCCTCCGACTGGCCCCGGGGGCGCCGCAGGTGCACGAGGAGCGCCAGAGGATCCAGCCGGAGGAGCAGCGAGCCCCTTCCCGAGCCCGAAGTGCTCCCTGTTTTGCAGCGCAGTGGCCGTAGGGTTCGGTCGGGCACGTCCTCCTACAAGCCTCGTCAAAAACAAACAGAAGACTTCTGAATTCGGTGATTGTGGGGTCAGCGCTATTCCAATGCTGACGGATTCCTGTTGACTCGGACGGGGTGTTGTCCAAAAACCGACCCCACCCTCTCAGCATTGAAGAACGCGCTTGCTGACGAGTGCCCGGAAGTATCGTGCCCCAGGATTCCAACTTCCGTTTCTGGATATGTTTGACGAGGCTTCTAGGGGCGGAGTTGGGAAGAAACAGTAAAAACATTGCCAACACATGCTCGAGCACAGTCAAAAATGGTCGAGAAAATTCGTCCCCGTACTGCTGCTTTGACCACTGCTCGACTGCTGTGCCTCCTGTAGAGGGGCATGCCCGACCTCGCCGTAGGGATCCCGTCATCTCCCGCCGCCCCCCTCCTCCCCCCATGCCAGCAGTGCTGCACGCCTCGCCCCATCCTCCTTCTCGAGGGCTCTCTGGCGCGTCCCTGCTCCCTCTCCAGTGGAGGCCTCCTAGATGGGGTCGTCGGAGTAGCTGGGGTCGGAGGATCGCGCCGAATCGCCGATACATCGGCAATACATCGGCGACGCATCGGCGATGCATCGTCGACTTCGGCGATGCGTCGGCGACGTTGACGCGAAGCAGGGAGGGCTGCGCATCGAGCCGCATCGGCGATGCATCGGCGATGCGGCGCGATCCTCCGACTCCATCTGCTCCGACCCCCCAGGCAGCCACCTAATGCCTACCAGCAGTGGAGAATGCTGCCTCCAGGACGAACCATCCGCTCCCAATGAGAGACCCTGAAATCACCCAAGAAGCTTCCCCAAGTCACCCCTGAAAGGAACGGTCTCCAAGAGGGTCTCGGGAGGTCAAACGCATTGGTGGTGGTGACCGTTTTCTTGTTCGGCGTTTCGGCATTGGGCGGCAGGGGGGGGTTTGGCTCTGGACCGCTGCTTAATGCGTGCGACTGTCTGCAACAGGGCGCCCTTTGGGGCAGTCTCCACCTGCTCGAAGCAGGCGCCCCAAACAGCCAGGATCTCTACTCCATGGGAGGGGAAGGGGGAGGGGGGGTGCGAGGGCCCGCGCCGATCGGCAGAGCCATGCATAAGAGTCATAAGAGCACGACCCTCAGGAGTTTCCCATCAGACGGCGCAGGGCAGCCCCAGGAGAGCCCCAAGTTGGTCCCAAGGGGGCATTCTGGAGGGACGCGGGAGAGCCTGCGCCCACCAGAGATCTCAAGAGAAAGCGCCAAGTCTCGTGGCCTCCGGACTTCGCCCGAGAGAAGCAGGCATCCGGGCCGGACCCTGGGCGTTCTCGCGCAGCTGGAAGGCTCGTGGCTGTGGCCCTGGACCGCATGCCGTGTAAGGACGCGCTTGGCGTGAAGGCCACCTTCGTAGCCCAAAACTTTCTTAACTTTACACCTGAGCAGGGGCCACAAAAGGTTCTCAGAACATTTCGTGGAAGCCACACAAGGTTCTTAGAACATTGTTTGGTAGGGCTATAGGCGAGCCAGGACGCTTCGCCACTGCTTGATACACAGGGGCCGCAAGAGGGCCATGAGACGGCTCTGCGATGGTCTCAAGAGAACCCCTCTCCAGACGGCCGACGCGGCTCCAAGACTGTCCCCAAGGAGATGAGCCCGACTCCTCCTCCTCCTCCTCCTCCTCCTCCTCCTCCTCCTCCTCCTTCCCCTCCTCCTCCTCCTCCTCCTCCTCCTCTTCCTCCTCACCCGTCCCGAGACGGCCCGAGCGGGCCCCAGGACGACCGGCGGGGGCCCCGCGGGACCCCCGTGGCCGCCGCACGGGAGGCCACGGCAGTCCCAGGACGGCCCAAACACGGGACGCACAACTTGCCGTCGCTCGGACGTCCATTCCCCGTGCATTTTTCGGTTTCGTGCGTGCTTTCTTTTGCTCGATGGTCCAGGATGCTCCTCGATGGTTCTCGCCGAGAAAAAATGCACACGTCCGAGCGATGCCAAGACAAGGACATACCAGTACGACATGTCCTCCTTGGAGGCGTGCGCCCGACCCGATCATCGAACATACCAGACTTTTGTCGTAGACTGTTTCCCGAGCGGTGTGGCCGGACAGCGCCGCCACGACGCGCACACTGCAAGATCTCTTGGTGTGCGCCTCGCCCCAAGAGGGCGGTGGCGACGCGCACTTAGCAGCAGCAGGCTGGGGTGACGCCGCAGACAAGCCCCGTGCGAGCTCCTCCAGGAGTGGGGGCCAGCTGCGTCACGCGTGACGGCCTTCTGGGCGGTGCTCGAGGAATCGCGGCACGGGATGCTTCCCTGGCGCGGTGGCGGATCCGCCGCAGGCGCCTGGACATTGGGAGTGGAACAGTGGCTTGACCTAGGGGAGGGGTGTGCCAAGACGGGTCGAGGGTCGAGGAATAGAGAGACGAACCGATAGATGCATATACATATGTAGAGAGAGAGATACAAACATACATGCATTAAGAAAATGGAAAGAGAGAAAGAGGAAGATGTGCATAGTGTATATATACAGAACAAGAACACGGGAGGTACATAACGAGAAACAATGACAGAGAAAGAGAGAGAGAGAGAGAGAAAGAGAAACAGAGAGAGAGAGAGCAACAAAATGACTAGAAAGGGAAGCAGAGACGAAATAACGATCCATACATGTTTAGTGTGAGGGGGGAGAGACAGAGAGAGAGAGAGAGAGAAATAAACATATATAAACCAACACACAACAACACCCCAAACAAGACGGAACCAAGGACGAGCGTTGCGCTTCCCCCAGGGCTGAAAGAAGGTGAGAGAGGGGGAAGGATCACAACGACGAGTGTTGTCGTTGGGCGCTGAAGGATGAGGTCTATGACAATTTGGCGGAAAGCATAAGGGTTGGGGAGGACAGCCTTTCAAGACTGCAGCAGGGCGCCTCGAGACAGAGCAACCCTTCCAGACCCCCAGCGTCGCAACTTGTTCAGAGCATGCAGCCTGGGACACTTCGCCCCCGGTCCCCGGTCCCCAGGACCGGGGCTTTTCGTTCCGAACGGTTCTCTGGCGGGTCGCCGAGGAGGTTGAAGGAGCCCCACGACACACAAATAAATACACACAAATAAACAGATCCCCCATATTTTTTATATATATATATATATTTTCTGCGTTTTTGTCTTCCCCCCCACTTCCCATATTTTCCAATATTTTCGGGGGAATCGAGGATTACTTGTGTCTGTGTGTTTTTTTCTCCTCCTGAGAGGTCTTGCAAGGGCCCCGCAGGCTGAAGACGGCCGCGGACCTCCGGTATCCGCCGCATGCCTTGCCACAGCTCGACGGTGGGTCTGGGATGGCCGGGGGCCACCAGTCGTGCCCCCAGACGTCTCGGGTTGTGCGTTCTGGCTGGACTTGCGATGCCATCCAACACTGGCGACGAGGAGGCACCCATTGAGGGATGCAGAAACGCCCCTGCCCTGGGTTACAAGTGCGAGGTCCGTAAACCTCCTGGGAGCTCCCGAAGGCCAGAGAGCCGCGCGACACGCGCGATTTGCAGGGTCTACCCTGTCAGCCCACAGGAGGTTCAGCGCACAGCGCCTCGTAAACCAGGGTAGGGGCCCTTTTAACGCCCCTGAACCCAGATGCCCAACAATCGGGCCGGGCGAAAGGGGGAGATAGCAAAGGGGGGGTTTGAGAATCAGCTCACGCCGCTGATTCTCCTGGCGCCACCCGGCGCCGGAGGCGGCCATGTATGGAGGCATGGGCCCAGCGGCGGGGCCGAAACCAGCTGCATGCAGTAGATTTCGTACCCCCCCCTTTCCCCATCCCCCCCTCTCGTCCGGCCCGGAACAGGCGGCGGGGGTGGCAGCTGGATCCTCGAAGCTCGAAGCTCGACCTCGAGGGTCGTGGACCAGCCGCATGCAGCAGATTTCGTACCCCCCCCTTTCCCTATCCCCCCCTTTCGTCCGGCCCGAAATTCAGGCGGCGGGGGTGGCAGCTATACAAGGCAGGTTTTAATACAAAGGATTTTGTTTTAAACATGGGATTTTTAATGCATGAGTAATATATGAGAAAATCTATGCATAAACTCATCCTTGCATGTATTCATCAACCCTTTATAATTAATCCATGGTCCGCACGCGGAGCATGTATTTCGGGGATGGACAGACCCCCCTTTAGCAAAACGTGGTTTATTGAAAACGACCTGAGGCCCAAACCTGGCGGGCGCAAGCCTGGAAAATGACGGCCGCGGCGCCCTCTCGGGAACCGAAAACGGACAATTCACTAATCGACGTGTCACTGTTGGGGGTTCTGTCCACCCCCGAGTATTGAAAACGGCACTGTAGATCCTCGAAGTTGACGAGGCTCGCCCGCGAGGATCGCGGAGCTTCGAGGGCCGACCCCCCTTCTCGACCCCGGACCCCCTCCCCTCGAAGCTCGCGGCTGCGCGCGGGCGTCGCCTGCTGACGCTGACGCCTCCGCAGGCTCTGCCTCGTTGGGCCTCACGCGAAGTCCTCCAGCTCCTCGTCCCTCAGCTCGGCCTCCCGCCGTCTTTTTTTTAGCGTGTGTACATCTCTCTATATATATATATATATGGAGAGAGACAGAGAAAGAGAGAGAGAGGAACAAGCGGACGAAGGAAGCGTGCGGCGGAATCACGACGCGATGGCGTCGGCCGTGCTTACGGACGCCGCGTGGCTCGTTCAACCGTGAGCGATCGCAGCGTTCTGACTTGCTCGGTCGTTCAAGCGTGGCCGAGCTGGAGGCCTCCTAGATGGGGTCGGAATAGATGGGGTCGGAGGATCGCGCCGCATCGGCGATACATCGGCGATGCATCGGCGATCGGCGATGCATCGGCGATGCACCGGCGATGCATCGCCGACGTGGGCGATACATCGGCGACGTCGACGTGAAGCACATCGGGCTGCACATCGAGCCGCATCGGCGATGCATCGGCGATGCATCGGCGGTGCGGCGCGATCCTCCGACCCCATCTACACGTCGTTCTCTAATCGTGCTCATTTCTAGTTGTGCTCGTTTCGAATTGTTCCTGGCCCCCTGGTGGCCAGGAAGAGGCCCAGGATAGAACAATCAGAAATGAAAGGATCCTGGCCCCCCGAACAGATTACATAACTCTCGAAGAATTCGAACTGAACCAGGTGTGCTCCGACCCCATCTAGGATCGGCGGTGGACAAACCCACCTTTCGTAAACCTCCCCTTGGTAAAAACGGCCCGGGACCGACGCCGACGGACCTGGACCCGCAAAAATGACGGTCGCGACGCCCTCTCGCGAACCGAAAACGGCCAACTCCTTAATCGACGTGTCAGGGTAGGAGGTCTGTCCACCTCCGACAATTGCGCACCTCATGTCTGGCTGTGGTGTCGCTGCTCAGGGTCTCCCCTCCTCTGCCGCCCGGGTAGTAGTTGTGAAGCTTGCATTCTTTTTAAGTCGCGCCTGTCCCCCTGCAGGGGGAGCTTCGACGAAACATAAAACATACCCCATAACTATTCCAGAATGGCCCAAAAATCAAAAAAAAAAAAAAAAAAAAAAGTTCCCAGACTATTTTTTTGACTATGTTTGGAACATTCCCCCCCGATAGGATCGGGGGAGCGTAAGACCCAGGTTTGCCAGGACTCGGGATCGCCATCGTTTTTTGACGACCGCGCCTCGGATTTTGACGAGGAGGAGTTTCGTGGATGTCTGCAGCGGGAGGCCTCGTCAAAATGCAGGCTCGGCCTCGTCATTTTTTTGACGACCTCATCGGGGATTTCCGAGTCCCCTGTACCCAGGTCTTACGCCCCCCTGAGAGGAGGCCCAGTCGAGCTCGGGTCGCAGGTGGCCTTCGACCCCCTCCGGGGGCGGGGCGCCGCGACTCTCTCCTCAGACGGCCCCGCGCCTGCCCCGGGCCTGGGCGGCCCAGGCCCGGACCTTCCAGGAGGGCTAAAACATAGCACCCCAGACCTATAGATCTACTGCAAGTTCGTGTCGTGTCGACCCCGGCGTTGGTTCCCGACACCGCGCTGGATCGTTCAACCTTGAACGATCGGTCGTCTCCGCAACGTCCGATCGTTCAACATCGACCGATTCTGGGCCGCCGTCGGCGTTCAACGTTCGGTCGACACGACGCGAACCTACCGTATCTGGACTGCCTCAAACCTCGACAGGAATTGGGACGTCGACGTCCTGGTGCTGTCCCTTGGCCCTCCTGGAAGGTCAGGGGGACCGCCCCCCCAGGCCGGCGCCGCGGCCCGGAGGCAGCCACGGGGGGCTGCCCCCGGGCGCATGCCGCTCGTGGCGAGCGAGCAACACGCACACCCTTACCCATAGAGAGAGGACGGAGGGGGCTATCTATGGGTGCGCGTTGTCAGATGGGGGTCCCCGCTCGAGCGGGAGCCTCCCCCGCGGTCCGACAACCCCCACCCATACCCATAGCAGGTCCTCCTCCCGCCGACCCCCCTATGGGTGTGGGTGTGGGTGCGTGTTGTCCGCTCGTCAGTCCGGGGGGGGGGGGGGGGCATTCCGGGAGAGCCAACGGAGCCCCACCCCGAGCAGCGCGCCAGCCGTGCCAGCGCGCCTTCCCAGAGGAAGAGCAACCGAGCCTCAAGCCTTCGGCTCTGATCGGGCCTCGCAGGAGCTTCCGGCACGCGCCTCCGGGGACGAGCAGGACAAGGCTTGCGAGACCAGCTGCAACGAGTCTACAGGGCAGTTTTTAATACATAGGATTTTTTAAAAAGAAATATAGAATTCAAAATACATGATTAATGCATGAATAAATTTATGCATGAACTCCTCGTTGTTGAAACCAAACCCCTGTACTTTTAATACATGATCCGCACGCGGAGCATGTATTGAAAACGGCACTGTAGCTGCAACGAGTCTAAATGTGTGCGCATGTCTTGTTGCCGTTACAGACGCCCGTCCCTCACAAGCAAGAACACATAGCACCAACCAGAGAGACGCTGCTGACACTTCTCCGACTGATCTTCCGTTCACCAATGCGGACTGCGGTGGCATGCCATTGACAGCACGGGCGTTACGGCTTCATCTTCGCAGACACATGCAACTATCAGAAAGGGTTGGAGGGAAAGAACGCGCAATGGCTCTGAGAGAAAGTCTGCGCATCTCTCCCAACCGCGGGAACGAACATGCAAGGCAGCGCCCTTGGACTCACTGTTCCGTGCCTCCCTCTCTCCAGACCTCGGTTCCCCCCAATCCCAACCACGTAGATGTGGAGGTGCGTAGTCCACCTCTTGTACATCTGCGCCATGCCCTGAGGAGACACCCGCAGACAGGAGTGCCCATCTCCCCCCGCGCCCCGAACGACCGCACTCTGGGGGGGCAGCTGGATCCCCGGCGCCTTTCTGCGAGAGCAAGAGAGCCGACCCCACCCCCACATGAGGGGCTCTAGATTGATCTTCCCGCTCCAGCGGCGCCCACTCTCACGCCGAATCCTCTCTCCGCTCGGACGGGAACGAGACCGCGTGGCACTGTGCAAGCAATCCCGGCGCGGTGCCAAATTATCGTGACACGATGCCACACATTGGTTGGGGCGGAATCTGGGAATTCCGTGGTTTTGCACTGCGATGCGGCGGGGGTCGTTGACTCGCGCCCGCTGCCAAACTAGAGGTGCCAGGCATGGCTTGGTTGTGCTTGAAAGCGGAAGCGGGGGAGGTCAACCCAGCTCTCATACCATTCGCCGAATCCCGAGCATCTGATCGTGCGCGCTCTTCGCGCTGCCGTGATCATGCGCGCGGTGGGCAGAATCGGGAGGATGCCTCGGGCAGCGACACGTCGCTGATCGTTGTGCGTTCGTCCCGTGCTTCGTGCTGCTCTGCCTGCTCTCCCGTGCCTCCCTCCCAGAGCGAAACACGAAACACCGCCGAAGCCCAGCAACACCGCGCGTAGGTCCAGTGCCCTGGTTCGGCGGTGGACAAACCTCCCTTTAGTAAACCTCTCCTTAGTAAAAACGGCCTAGGACCGAAATCGACGCACCTGGACCCGCAAAAATGACGGGCGCGACGCCCTCTCGCGAACCGAGAACGGCCAACTCCTTAATCGACGTGTCAGGGCATGAGGTCTATCCTTATGTCGGGCGTGTCCCCCTACAGGGAGATGTTTGACGACAAATTTTTAAAAATACCCCCAAAATGCCCCCAGAAGGCCAAAACATACTCAAAAAGTAGTCCCCAGACTATGTTTGGATTACTTTTTGATTATTTCTGGGGGTATTGGAGGTCTGTCCACCCTCGATGCTGCTCGGGGAGAGGGGGGGGGCAGCGCTGCTCGGGGGGGGGGGGGGGGCGGCCCGGACGCGAGGGCGAGGCCCCACGTGGGGCCCCTCGCCCTCGCTCCCCGGGAGCACCCCGCCTGGGGCGTGGGGCCCTCGACGCTCCCTGCCGCCCCTGCGAGCCTCCGGTGGCACCTCCTGGGAGCCTCCGACGCTCCTCGACGCCGCACCCCAAACCCAAAAAAAAACCCGAACCCTGAGCCCTATAGGTTTAGGGCTCAGGGTTCCGGGCCCTGCGGGTCGACGCTCCTCGATCGACGCCAGTCGACGCGGATCCCCGCGCCAGATCGGCGACGTCTCCTCGACTCCCCCAGACGCTCCTCGGCGCCAGCCGAGGCCAAAGACGGAATGGAGATGGCACGTCGGGGGCGGCCAGGAGGAGGCGCCATGAAGTCTGAGGAAACGTCATGGCCCACGGCATGATGTCCCCCCCCCTAGGCGTCACCCCCCTCTTTGCCGACCCCGAGTCTCGCCATCGCTCGGACGTCCATTCTGTGTTTTTTCCGGTTCCGTGCGTGGTCTTTTCGCCAAATGATCAAGGATGCTCCTCGATGGTCCTCGCCGAGGGAAGAATGCACACGTCCGAGCGATGCCAAGGAGTATGCCAGGCTCCCACGCTCTGCTGCCCGACGAATCTGTGCTCGCCGCAGGCCGCCCGCGCCGCAGGCGCGCACCGCCTGGGGCGCCGCGCGGTGCTCCGCGGCGCAGGCGCCGACGGCGCTGCCCGCACACCAGCAGCGCGGAGAAGCTGGCTTTGAAGGAGCCATCATTAACCAGCCTCGAACTTATCCCTATCCCTGAGATGGGCGAGCAAAAAGCGAGGGCAATCTTTGGGATAGGCCCTCAGAAACTGAGGGGATCCTCAAGATCGGCATCGAGGTGAGGTGCTGGCAAACATAGGGATAGGGAAATGCTTCAAACTGGTAAATCAGCGCGGAAAAGCTGTGGTCAGATCTTCCCGTGGTAATCCACTCGCGGACAATCGAGGCCGCCCCCAGGGCCCTTCGCATGCAGACACGGGCATCCGAGAAGGGACGAGAAGCACGCGGACGTTGCATCCCTTCCAGGACAACTAGCATCGTTTCGGTTCCATCATATGCCACCCAAGTGCAAAACAACTTCTACATTCCTGTGGCCAGGACGGGCAATCAGCTCCCCTACCCACGCTGACATTGTCCAGTCCAACATCGACCAGGCTCTGCAATGCGATCGGGTTCCTCAGACATGCCGCATCGCAGTAGCAAAGCCTGCTGTGTGATGTTGGTCGGCAACTGGCCTATCCGTGTCGAACCCGTGCCGAATCCACGTCGAAGTCAGGTCTAACCCGCTTCGAACCCACGTCGGCGCACAGGAGAAGACTGCCGTGTCTACAGGACAGGGCAGGCACCCCGAGGAGGCAGAGTGAGAAGCTGTGACGTCCCCTTGGGGGTGCGCAGGTTACGTCCGCCAGCTTCTGGCCTCGCACCTTCTCCTGGCAGAGGAGGAGGAGGAGGAACAGGAGGAAGGGGAGGAGGAGGAAGAGAGGAAGAGAGGAGGAGGAGGACGAGGAGGAGGACGAGGAGGAGGACGAGGAGGAGGAGGAGGACGAGGAGGAGGAGCACCTCGACCTCGATCTGGGGCCCTGGGGCACGACGCGAAAGGCGTGCAACGTGCGCCTAGTGCCCCCTTTGAGCCCGCGCGCCGCTCCCCTCGGCGCGCCCCCGGCCGGGCGCGCCTGGCGGAGGCCGCTCTGCCCCGTGCAGCGCCACCACCAGCGCCGACTTCCGCCGCTGGAGCCGCCGCTGGCCATCGCTCGGACGTACAGGGCAGTTTTTAATACATACATTTGGTTATAAAAAAAAAGAAAATATTTGATTTTAATACATGATTCATCTATGAATAAATGTATGCATGAACTCATCGTTGTCTTTAATACTAAATCCCTACATCTTTAACACATGATCCGCACGCGGAACATGTAAAAAAAAACGGCACTGTACATTCCCTGTGCTTTGTCCGGCTTCGTGCATGGTTTGATCAAGGATGCGCCTCGATGGTCCTCGCCGAAGGAAAAATGCACGCGCCCGAGCGATGCCGATGCCCCCTCGTTCTGCTTCCGCCGGCGTCCGAAGCTGTGCTCCGCCCCCCGTCCGCCGAAGTGGAGGTGCGGAGCACCTCCGCTGCTCGACAGCGAGGCAGCTCTGGGGAGCGCCCCCCTGGTTGCCCCCGTGGCGAGATCGCACCGGGACCCGTGCTGTGACTCACGCCTGGCTCTCTCGCTCTTCATGGACACTGGCGCCTGGGAGAACCCTATGTGAAAACATGTTTCAAGGGGAATTGGGACACACGAACAAATACACACAAATAAAAAGATCCCCCTATAGTTTCCCATACTCTCTGGGTTTTTGTCTTCCCCCCCACTTCCCATATTTTCCCATATTTTCTGGGAACCCCCACTTCCCATATTTTCCTATATTTTCTGGGAATCGCCGATTCATGCCCTCCTGACTGTTGAGGTTCGGCTTGAGCAGGGGTGCGACTCCAGGGCAGCGAGTCCTCCCTGCCGCACCCTCCGTCGGCCGAGAACAGGGCCGATATGACCGCGGCCGCGGCCGCTCCACGGGGAGAGCGCAGAATGTCGATCTCGGATCGGTTCGTCGATCGAGGATCGCATCTTTTCCCGGAAGGGCGCCCTGGCTCAAGGGCCCTGAACGGCAGCGGGGCGCAAGAGCATCAGGAAAGATGGGGGACAAGGAGAAACAAGGCGAGAAGGATGAAGCGAGAGGTGACACACCTAAATGGTGAAGGGCATACGGTTGGACGGTGGAGCTTGAGCAGGGTAGGACCAGCATTGGCCCTGACGGCGACAGTCCGAATCTGCAGCACAGCAGCCGTCAGAGGAGGCCCAAGACAGCACCCCGAGAGACAGGAGGAGGGCCCAGAACCGAGGGATGCACGGGCTCGTCCTCGTGGACGGTATTGGGTGTCGGTGTGGACGCAAGGGGGGCAGCACAGGGGAGGAGGGGGAGCTGGCAAGTCAGCTACATGGAGCCACATTTTCGGGAGTCTCGCGGCACTGGGAGCGACCGTGTATGATCCAGGGTTGCCCAACCCCCTGCTCCCCCGATGCACCCGTCCCCCCCATGGATGGGTACGCCCGTGGGCCTCGCGAAGGCATCACGAATAGGACCGCTGCCCCACCCCCGCTGTGGTCGTGGCCTTGTGGGCGTGGCGTGGTGGAGGGTGCTGGTGCACCCTCCCTCCCTCCCCCTGTGGGTTGCGGGATGGCTCGTAGGCGTCGTCGTCGTCGACGGCGTCGTCCGTCGGCGTCGGCGGCGTTGGCGTCGACGTCGGCGACGGCGTCGGCGTCAGCGTCGGTAGCGTCGGCGTCGGCGTCGGCATCGTCTTCCCCCCCTCCGTCCGGGGGGGGGGGAGGGGGGCTGTGGAACCCTGGGGCCCATCCCATCCGGGGAGGGGGCGGAGGCGGCCCTATGAGCCCTCGACCAAGAAGCGTGCATCGAGGAATGCGTCTGGCGGTGGGAGCGCAACCATCAGCACGCTGCAATTTTCGCACCCCCCTCCACCCTCTCTGGACGAGCGCGTTCCACTACTCGCAAAGCGACTACTCGCAAATGGCCTGGAATCCGCTGGGGGGGTCCACGAGAAACGACATCGAATCAGACACGTGTTGTTCGGCCGTCTGCGAGTAGGCACTTTGCAAGTAGTGTTATGCCGGGCGTGTCCCCCTACAGGGGGATTTTCGACGAAACCAATACTCCAAAAATGCCCCAAACAGGTCAAAGAAATATTCAAAAAATAGTCCCCAGACTATGTTTGGACCATTGTTTGATTATTTTTGGGTATGTTTTAAATTTCGTCGAAAATCCCTTTGTAGGGGGACAGGCCCGACTTAAGAGTAATGGAGCGCGCTCGGTGACCCTCGGACCACCCGAAACGAGTCTCTCTCGCGCGACGTGCCAGGGGCCGAGGGGAACGCGCAGACGATGCAGGGGCCCTGGGACACATAAATAAATACACACAAGTAACAGGATTCCCCATATCTTCCCATGTTTTCTGGGTTTTTGTATTCCCCCCACTTCCCATACTTTCCCAAATGTTCCTGGGAATCGACGATTAATTGTGCCTGTGTGTTCTTGTTGCCTCCTGAGACGATGCCGCAGCCCAACCGCCACCCGAGAATCTTTCGTACTCGTGCTGGCGGCTGGGTCGGAGGTTGGGGGGTGAGATCGCAATGGAGCGGAGACCCCCAACCGGGAAATCGTTTCGTTTCGTTCGTGCCGTACGTGCTGGCGAGGCAAAGCTGCGTGGGCGCGCGAGGAGGAACCCGCCGTTGCTAGGGCAAAATCGAGACGAATGATTCTCCGTCTGGCGGTGGCCCGCGTTGTCCCGCGGTGTCCTGTGGTGTCCCGTGGTGTCCGCCGTTACTCAAGCGAAATCAAGACAAATGATTCCCCCGCCCGCCCTTCCGTCCGTCCGTCCGGCGGTGGCTCGTGGTGTCCCGCGTTGTCCGTGGTGTCCCGTGGTGTCCCGTGATGTCCCGTTGAGTGAGATCGATAGTGAGATCGATAGTGAGATCGGTGTGGTGTCCCGAAGTGTCCCAAAACGTGAGATCGATAGTGAGATCGATAGTGAGATCGACAGGTGTCCCGTGGTGTCCCGTGGTGTCCCGTTGAGTGTGAGCGATCGTGAGATCGATAGTGAGATCGATGTGGTGCCCCGAGGTGTCCCGTTGAGTGAGATCGATAATGAGATCGATAGTGAGATCGACAGGTGTCCCGTTGTGTCCCGTGGTGTCCTATGGTGTCCCGATGAGTGAGATCGATAGTGAGATCGATAGTGAGATCGATGTGGTGTCCCGAGGTGTTCCGTGGTGTGTGTCCCGTTGAGTGAGATCGATAGTGATATTGATAATGAGACCGATAATAAGATCGAGATGTGCCCCGCGGTGTCTCGTGGTGTTCCGTGGTGTCCCGCTGGGTGAGATCGATAATGAGATCGATAGTGAGATCGACAAGTGCCCCGTGGTGTCCCGTGGTGTCCCGTTGAGTGAGATCGATAGTGAGATCGATTGTGTCAGATGTTGTTTCCCCCCTCCCCTCTCCACCCCCCCACAGCCTCCTTATCACCCGAAGGGTGGTCGTATAGGCAGATTGGAATATGGCACGCCAAAAATACATACTTTCAACGGCCGATGGGTAGATGCCCACCAGCCCTTAGGCTTGAATGGTTTAGAGAGTTTTCTCTTCCATCTTCCCTCTTCCACTTCGGGGAGGGGTCCCTCCCACCCTCCACGCTCCCCCTGAGTCTGGACGAGGGGGGGGGGGGCGAGGTGTCAGAGGATCTTGTTTGGCCTCCCCCCAAAGAGAACAGCAACAAGCTCTGCTCGCTCTCCTCCTCCTCATCTTCCTCCTCCACTTCCTCCTCCTCCTCCTTTCCCTGTTCCGCCTATTCCTCCTCTTTCCTCCTCCCTCGTTCCCCTCCCCCTCTCCCTCCCCCCCTCTCTCTACTCCTGATCATGCTCCTGCTCCTGCTCCTGTTCCTGCTCCTGTTCCTGCTCCTCCTCCTCCTCCTCCTCCTCCTCACCCTCCTCCTCCTACTCCTCCTGGTCCTCCTTCATCCTCCCCCTCTTGAAGCTACGACGTTGTACACACCCCTTTATTCTACTGCATGCTCCTCCACATCTCTGATCTGGGCAACTCGTCTGTATCGTTTCTGGATGGGCTGGCGGTGGGTTACGCGAACCGTCTAGACTAGTGAAGGATTTCAGGGGACGAACGTCGTGCGGACTGGATGAAGAACATTTGCGGCGACGGTGAGGGGGCGGAGGGGGAGAGGGAGGGGGGAGAAGTTGATGGATGGAATGGGGGAGGAAAAAGGGCACGAAAAAGAGGATAGGGGAAGGCTGTCCTTTGCATCCCTCTTGTCTTCCGTCTCGTTTCGCTCTGACTTCACACGCTTCTTGATCGTCGACCAGCGGCGAAACCCTCAAAGCAGCTCCACCCCTGCCCTCCACCCCTCCGCCTGAAACGCGGTTCTCCCGCCGCGCCACAAGGCGTGCTGGTAGGCTGGGCCTGGCGTTTCGCCTTTGGGGTCATCGCCGCTGATGATGGTCATGGGCTTAGTGGGCCCCGGAAACGGCAGGACCGTTTTTTCACCGTTTCCGAAAAATAGTCCCTTGAACATGGAAACTGCAAAAAAACGGCGACCGGAAACGGCAAAAAAACGACTCCAGGACTGGAACCGGAGCCGGAACCGGTCAAACAACGGCGACGGAACCGGTAAAAAACGGCGTCGGAACCGGCAAAAGAACGGCAAAACGGAACCGGTAACAAAAACGGCCCTGTCGTTTCCAGGGCCCACTAAGGTCATGGGAATTGAAAGAAGCTGCATGGATGGAGGGCGGGTCGGTTTCAAACCGCAGCTCTCGCAGCATCGCCGCACACGGTCGTCGCGCAGTATTTCAACAAGCAGAACGATCGACGGCGGACAACCACCAACACGTGGTTATCGCACGCATTCGTCTGATAACCTTCCAGCAACGTTTGATGACATGAAATTCCACTTCAAAACGGAGCTGTCGCCCAACAAATTCTGAGAACCCACTCGTGAAATCGTAAACCCGTTACCCGAAATGAAGGCGGATTATGTTCAAACTATGTTGCCGGGGAGCCAACGCATACATGCTGGCCAGCGTTGTGAGACTGCAAAGCCTTCACATACATACATGGCGGAAGCTTTTTAGCGGCGTGATTGCTGGATTATCCCGTGAACGTTGTGATCATAGTCTTTGCGATCTCCATAACTAGAAAGATGTAGCACAGTTCCTTTGGGTGCTTCCACCTGAATGAGAAGCCCATTGTGTTCTTATTGCAAGGGAGCGCTGCCCTCAATGAACATCAGATGTGCTTGTGAGAACTCGTGGGGCATTTCCTTGAATGGATCTCTCAAGCTAGTCGCCGCTTCACGCGGTCTGCGTTCAGAGCAGGAACAAAGCAACACCACAGGAATGCATGGCATTGACAGCGCAGCTGCGCACACGTGTCAAATGCTCCAGAGAGCAAGGACACATCAAAGCCCCAGGCAAGCGAGGCATTAACATTGTAGCTCAACATCAACAGTGTCCACGAGCGCTGCTCTACCCTGGCGGGTGTGGGCAGAAGACGAGTTGGCGTGCGACGGGATGGTGTGCTGCAGTATCGTTGACGCGTCCTGGGCCTCCTCTCCTCCCCCTCCCCCCCGAGCGGCCGAAAAGCTATCTGACGAGGCGCGCCCGGCCAACCCTGAGCTTCGGCGAGACCGCGGCGGAAAGGACGTGTTCCTCGCTCTCCTCCGCCTCCTCCTCCTTCTCCGCCTCCTCCTCCTCCTCCTTCTCCTCCTCCTCCTCGTTCAACTTCTGCCCCCCCCACCTGCCCGCGCACCTTTGCGCCCACGCTCGCGAGCGGGAGCGCGCGAGGAGGGGGGGGCGGGGGGGGAGGGCAGAGCGGGCGTTTTCGCGCGATGCCTGAAGCGAACGCGCACTCGAAATTACCACGCTCACGCTCGGCATTGGGCGGGCGATGGCAGCGATTGCCTTAGTACTTCCGGGGCTCAGGGGGCAATGAGGATGAGGACGGAGGAGGTGAATGCTTCGACGGGCCTCTGGCTGTCGGCTGCTTGGCAGTGGCCGCCCGAGGAGGGACGGCGAAAAGCGGTCCTTCGACTCAATCCTCATCCGCTTGCTGTACGGGCCCTTGTAGGCCTGGCAGCGGCTGATGTACAGGCGGGACTTGTCCTGACGGGCCCGGGGGGGGGGAGGAACGGGCTTCTACTGACCTGGGTCGATCCGAACCCGGGCCAGCCATGCGCCATGCTCCGCAGGATCCCGCACGATGCGCAGGATCCTGTGGGACCCTGCGCGCAGGCCCAGGTCCATGCAGCCATGGCTCTGCGGGATCTTGCAAGATCTGGCGCTCTTGATGGGCCTGTTTTCCACCACCACCACCATACGTTGGAGGGGGAGGGGTCCTCCTCCACCACCACCACCACCTCCTCCTCCTCCTCTTCGGCCTCCTCCATCTGCTCCTCCTCCTCCTTCCCCCCTCCAACTTATGGTGGTGGTGGTGGACAACAAACACACCAACTCTGGCTCCCCCCTGCCTGCATTGAACCCCGTGTTCATGCTCTTCCACCTCCTCCTCCGCCTCCTCCTCCTCCTCGAGGGAGTGCCTTTTTCTGGGGGGGGGGGCTGCGGCTGGATCCGCCTGGAGACCCTGGCCAGACCGAGCTCCACGGAGAGGTCGAGGAGGGGTGTGTGGAGGATTTCGGGGAGGGAGGTGGACGAGGAGAGGGATCATGAGGCAGAGGGAGGGGGGGGAAGGGGCAAGGAAGGACGAGGAAGCAAGTAAAAGGACGAGGAAGCAAGTAAGGGACAGGGATGGGGGGAGGGGAGGGGCAGGGGAGGGACAGGAGGACGATAACCCCATACCCACGATGATAATGTACCCCCCCCCCTTACACATAAGAGTTGATTATCCACGGCCAATAAGAGTTTGGTCGGGGGCGCGGGGCGCGGAGGCCGAACTTCATTATCACCGTGAAAAGTTCGCCATCGAGTTTACTTCCTTCTTATGTTGAGATAATAACACCAAGCGACGCGAACACGTTTTTTTTTTTTTTTTTTTTTTTTTTTTTTTTTTTTTTTTTTTTTTTTTTTTCAGGATGTCTCAAGCGAAACCAATGTCCTTCTGCCTCTTTGTAATTATGTATGTCTTTCTTTATTTCTTTCTCTGTCTCTCTCTCTCTCTGTCTCTCTATCTCTTTCTCCTCCTCCTCCCTCTGGCGCCCTGAACTTGTTTACCGCTGGGTTTGAGCATCCTGGGAAAACGAGGCACGTGAGCTACCCCACACGAGCGGATGAGAAGTTTAATTTCCATTAAGCGTTTACAAATTAAGTATAATACGTAGTTTCAAACTCTGGATGTTTGCTATCTCCTTCTCCTCTCCTCCTGTTGCTCTTTCTCCTCCTCCTCATCATCATCTTCCTCCTCTACCTCCTCTTCTCTTTCTATATTTCTATGTATATCTCTATATTTATTCTCCTCCCCCTGCCCCCCCTGAACTTGTTCTATCGCTGTCATTGACTATCCTGGGAAAAACGAGGGACATGAGGAATCTCTATAGGAACTCCGAGCTTCAGTTCCGTATTATAGAAATATTAAAAGCCGGCACGTTCCTTCAGCCTCCTGAAAGGGCTCCAGAATTTTCCAAGTTCGTTTTTGGAATTACATGTAGATTTATTAATGATGAATAATATAGAAGTGAAGCTCAGAGGCGCGCGCGCGCACCTCCGAGCTTCAGTTCTGTATTATAAAAATATTAAAAGCCGACACGTTCCTTCAGGATGCTTCAGAGAGGACCAAAAGCCAAGGATGTCTCAAGATATCCTCGGCTTTGGCTCCTCTGTTAACATCTTTATGCTGGCCTCTGGTGGGCAACTTTTGTTATCACCCCGTAACCGCCGAACTTTATTATCCCTGGGGGGGTATTCTCGGGAGCATGGGGTTAAGCATAAGCGGGCGGGGCAAGCAGGGGGAGAAAAGTATGGAGGTGGAGGAGAAGGAGGAGGAGAAGGAGGAGGAGGAGGAGAAGGAGGAGGAGGAACATACGAGACACCCGCCGCCGCGCACCCTCTGGCACGCTGGGGCGCGCTAGAGTTCCTCCGGTCTGTCTGCGACGACAACCTTTCCTTGGGCGGCCCCCCCCCGCGGCCGCCGCGCCTTCTGGCACCGCTCCGCTCCCGTTCCTCTTCCCGCCCTTCCTCCTCTACCTCCTCTCCCCCCTCATGTTTCCTGCTGCTGGTCCTCGTCCTCCTCCTCCTCCTTCTCCTCCCCATTCCTCCTGCTCCTCCTCCCCATCCTCCTCCTCCTCCTCTTCCTCCTCCTCCTCCTCCTTTTGCGTTGGCCAGACTCTTAGCGACAGAGACCATAGCGTCAACCTCCACCTCCTCCTCCTCCTCCTCCTCCTCTTCCTGCTCCCTCCTCTTCCGTATCCGCTGGATCGCGTCCCGGAACCTGGACCGCGAACGCGCGGACACGGATAGGTTCGCCGCTCGCGACCCACGGCCCCGCCGAAGGCTTGCCACTGGGCTCACGCCCTCACGCCGGCGTGGACCTCAGGCTGGTGAGGGCTTGCCGGGGCTCCCGGGTGAGGCTGCCGCGGGCGGCGGCGGCGGCGGTGCGCTCGCTCAGCGGCAAGGGCGTCGGGCCTGCCAGGCGTGGGGGCGGCACGCGCACGCACGCACACGGGATCCCCTCGAGGGGCACCAGTGCTCGGCGACGAGCGAAGGGGGGAAAGCGAGAGGGGGCCAGAAGGGGGCCGGCCTCCTCAGCAGGCCCGGAAGTCCCCCAAAAACCTTCTGAGAAGCCTGCCGGGCGTGCCGCGCAGGCACGGGAAGCCTCAGAGGAGGCGCGAGGGCGTCTGGGAAGTCCCGCCGCCCTCCGAAGAGGCCTCCTTCGCCTCGCTTCCCCCCCTCGCTCGCCGCCGAAACACTGTGAGGCCCAGTGGTGTGCCCACAGGGCGGGCATGGCTCGGCCGCGCGCGCGCGCCGAACTGAGAGGCTGCGCGGATGCCGTGAGGCGCGGGCAGGGTCCATACCGAGCAGTGCCATGCAAGACCGGGTAGGCATCCAAAGCCTGAGACTCGGGTCGGGCGAAAGGGGGGGATAGCAAAGCGGGGGTTTGAGAATCAGATCACGTAGCTGATTTTCCCAGCGCCTCCCGGCGCGGGGAGGCGCCTATGTATCGAGGAATGGGCCCGGCGGCGGGGCCGAAACCAGCTGCATGCAGCAAATCTCGCAACCCCCCCTTTCCCAATCCCCGCCTTTCGTCCGGCCCGAGAGACATGGAGGAGATGACCAGGTCCCTCCACACGAATCCAGCGGCAGCGCACCACGCGTTGCCCATGAATTCGTGTGTGAGCCAACGCAAGCAAGTAACACCCTTTCCCCTCCAAGGCCGCAACGGGTCGCAGTCGCGGGGCCGCGGGGCAACCCTTGCGGGCTGTGCTAACAGTTGATTACACCGGCCACCTTGTGTGGGAGCGCGTGTCAGCCTTGCGTCCCAAGAAAATGAGACGATGGATGCGAGAAGGTTGACAAGCAGGATACGCTAACTTAGGAAGATGGGCAATCGAAGACAATAGGGCAAACCGTGCGCGTATACACAGAGACACACATGACACACACACACACAGACGACACACACAGACAACGCATGTGGCGTCGCGGCCAAGCGCGCAACGGCGCAACGTAGGCAATCGATCAGGAGAACACGCGCACCCACCCACCCACCCACCCACCCACACCCACCCACACACGCACACACACACACACACGCTCACACACACACACACACACACGCACACACACAAGCACACACGCATACACACAACCACACACGTACGACACACACCCGAAGGCAGGCAGGCAGGCAGACACGTACCTGGCTGTGTCGAGTCAAGCGCCGAGCCCGTTCCCGTGAACAACGACCTACGGATTCATCAGCGCAGAATGGGCCACATGACCGAGACAACATCAGACAATCGCGCGGCACGGGCCCGGACTCGTAGATCAGGCCAGACAGGTACACACAACTGTCAATGCGTTCAAGGGGCGCAGCAATGGACTCGCCATTGCTCGGACGTCCATTCCCTGTGCGTTTTTGTCGGTTTCGTGCACGATTTGTTTCCCAAAGGGAGCAAAATGCTCCTCGATGGTCCTCGCCGAGAAAAAGTGCACACGTTCGAGCGATGCCAAGCGGATGCCGCAGGCAAGCGACCACCCCCGGCGTGTCCATGTTGTAGGTGTTCTGGGCGTTTGCCGCTGCCGACTGCAGGCACTGAGGGCGCAGTTTGGGCATCTCTTTGCCATGCCTGTGCCGCTGCCGCTGCCGCTCTTCCGACGTGCTCTTAAGTCGGGCCTGGCCCCCTACAGGGGGATTTCGGACGAAATGGGAAAAGGTCAAAAAATACTCCAAAACATAACAAAATACTGAAAAACAATGGTCCCCAGACCATGTGTTGACCATTGTTGACTCTCCCCCCCTGTGGAGGGACAAGCCCGACTTCTCGCGTGCTGCTCACGGGGGGCCGGGCAGTGGCAGAAGCCACGGGCGAGGCACGTGGGAGCTCGCCGGATGCTGGGCGCAACGCGTCTGGACTCCGCACGCGCTTCTCCCGAAGCGTCCCCTGAGAAGCCCTGCCGCGTGCCGCCGTCCAAGACAGCCCTTTGGCTGCCAACCCACTTGCGGAGCCGCCGGGCTGCACGATCAGATCTGCTCAACCAAAAGGCAAATGCACGGCCGTCCTTACCCCAAGTTACCTGAAGGCGTGACCCCGCCAGGGCCCGGGACAAACATTATCTTCGAGCCCCTGACTCGAACACCGGACACGATGGCAAGATTTGCCGAATGATGTTAATATGCGGTTCTAGCTGTCAAGAAAACACATGTGGATCAGCTTTGGAAACGTACGGTGCTCGTTCGGGACCAAATGACCTGTATACATCTCCATCTGGATGCATTGTGGATTGGGATGTCGAAGGCGTCGTTCCACCACGACTAGGGCGAGCTAGTCTACTCGCTGCTCAAAGCAATGTGACAGTCTGTGACAACATGAAGCAAGCCTGATGCCTCTGAGGTCGCCTCTCGTCGACGCGTGCATCTGGGGACGTCTGAGACAGTCTGAGGTATGCGTGGTTGCAGCACCATGTCAACACATCCCTGGGTGCATTGCAAACATTTGTTTGTAAAGCGGGCGTACGTACCGACATCTGGCCAATACGGACTCTTTGCCCGAGGCGAAACATTGAGATAACGCTGGGTGGGGCGTTCCAGGAACTGATGGCAACCAACACGGCACACATCTGGATCCAACCCGATGACGAAAATGGGTCAAGCTAGGATCAGACGAGATCAGACGAGAACCCTGGATCCCTTGTGGCACTGTGCATTGCGCGGAGCACATTGGAATCAGATGGCATTTGCAGCAATCAAGGGAACATGTATTCCGATAAAACCGTCTGGGTCTTCCCACACCTTACCGAAAACAACAACACAACAGAGAGTAGTCAATCCCACAAGCGCTCTGGGAGAAGGAGGGAGTAGCGGATCAGCAATTCCTGCACCGATCCCAAATCGTATGTTTGGTATTGCTGATTCCTGGGTGCGGACCGTTGTCGTCACAATGCCTTCGAGACTCGGCGGTTTGCCAATGCAGCACTCTACCATTAGCATGTGCTGCCTCCCGTCGAATCATCCTCCACTCTGGACGGCAGCAACGGGCTGGCGCAGGAGCGCGACGAAGACAAGTTCCTGGGCATCTGCGCTCGATGCAAGTGCTCTAACTGCGCTCTCACAACTTGCACGCTCAGACACATTCTCGGGACGAGGCAGGAGCTGGGTCGACAGAGAATGCTCGCCTCCCTCGATGCAGAACGCTTCCTGCTCCTCTTGAACGTCTCGTGGGCGCTCCGAGCCAGGGTAAATGCGTCTTGCAGGTTCCCCCTGACAATTCTTCAACGCCTTCCCACATTCCACTGAAACAACCTGGCCTTGAGGACTGGCTTGCACGTGCGCCACGGCAAGAACTCGAGCAGCATGAGCGCCTCGCGGTAGGACCTGCTACGCGCTTGGGCAATGTAGCAGATAGAGCCGCTTCCTTCAAACACTGCCCATCATTTAGTTCCCCTCTTGCCTCGAGGACGCCGCAGGAGACGAGACCGAGGAGGAACGAACAGCGACCGAACGAGACCGCACCCCGTGCAGCCGAGCCGATGCCAGAAACCATAGAGACGGCAGGGTGCACCGACGCTGCGGCGTGCGCGACTCATGAAGGGAGGGGGGGTGCTGACGGGCGGGGGTCAGGGGGGCGTAAGACCCGGGTACAGGGGACTCGGAAATCCCCGACGAGGTCGTCAAACAGATGACGAGGCCGAGCCTGCATTTTGACGAGGCCTCCCGCTGCAGACATCCCACGAAACACTCCCACTCGTCAAAATCCTAGTCGCGGTCGTCAAAAAACGAGGGCGAACCCGAGTCCTGGCAAAACCGGGTCTTATAAAGGGAAACTTGGACACACAAATAAATACACACAAATAAAAGGATTCCCCATATTTTCCCATATTTTCTGGGTTTTTGTCTTCCCCACCACTTCCCATATTTTCCCATATTTTCCGGGGGATCGACGATTAATTGTGTCTGTGTGTTTTTTCCCCTCCTGATCTTACGCTCCCCCGAGGGGGGGGGGGGAGAGAGGGAGAGGGAGGGGCGTTGCGAACGGAGTGGGGGCGACAGCAACGCGCTCAAAAGACGACGGGGGCAGGAGGGCCACGCGGCCAGGAGCCCGAGAAAAAGCCCCGCAGACCAATCTCGGAGCACGGGGAGGGCGTCGACGGCCGGGCCCGTCCCCCCCCCCTCATCCTCCCCCCCAAAGGAAGGGGGGGGGGAGAAAGGAGAGGCGGGGAACATGTGAAGGGAAACTGGGACACACAAATAAATACACACAAATAAAAAGATCCCCCATATTTTCCTATATTTTCTGGGTTTCTGTCTTCCCGCCCACTTCCCATATTTTCCCATATTTTCTGGGGAATCGAGGATTAATTGTGTCTGTGTGTTTTTTTCCCTCCTGAACATGGAGAAAAGGAGAGGAAGGGTAGGAGGCCACATTCAAAGTCTGCACCACCACCCCACGACTCTTGGGGGGGGGGTTCGCTTCGCTCGGGATCTCCCGAGCGAAGGGAACCCCACCTCCCCCCTCAGAACTCGTGGGGTGAGCGGTAGGGTTCGCATGCAGCCTCCTAGAGGAAGGGGGGTAGAGGGAACGACAGAGCGGACAGGACGGACAGATCAGACCGCCGAGGATCATAGAGCGAAACGTGCAAGAATCTTCTGCATGGGGCGACGCCAGAATAGGCGGACGTGGCTGACATAAAAAGTTGTCCTCCCCCCGGCAAGCAACAATGATTTTGGTAGCGCCATGTATCGTCTTTCGACTCCTCCTCCTCCTCTTCCTCCTCCTGCTCTTGTTCCTCCTTCTCCTCCTTGTCCTCCTTTTCCTCTTCAGCGGCTGTCCAAAGGTCGCCCTGAATCGCAGATCGATGGGATCGCTTGTAGAACCGAAGAACGACCGAACTAAACTAAACATCGCGGGCGGAGGAGGAGTCGCCCCTTTGGGCGCGTACGTGATCGCGTCGATCGGTGCAATGCAAAGACACCGGCACGCATCTTCGACTCGATCTCGAGCCTTGTACAGCCGTGCCCTCAAGCGTTACTGCGCACCTTCGCGCTCCCCAACACGCAGGCCCGATGAGCGTGGACAGTTCGGAACCAGCTGCAAGGAGTAGCGTTGGGTAGGCCATGTCCTCCAACAGGCGGCCTTTGGACGAAACATGAAAAATAGTTCACAACATGCTCAACAATAACCCAACATAATAGAAACATCGTCCCCAGACTATTTTTGTTTTTTTGATTATTTCTCCTATAGAGGGACATGCCCGACTTAAGGGCAGCGGGGGAGGAGTAAACCAGGGCAGCAGAATCGCGCCGCTTCGCGCTGCGCGAAACGCGCAGTGCTGACCGCTTCGTGCTCTCGCGCCGCCCCCGTGGGGGGGCAAACGGCAGCCTGCGGACTGGCTTGGGCCCGCGCCGCTGGCAGAGCTCCTCTTCCCCGGGGCGTGCCGCGAGGGGGAAAAGGAGGAGGAGGAAGAGGAGGAGGAGGAGGAGGAGGAAAAAGAGGAGGTGGAGGAGGAGGAGGAGGAGGAGCAGGAGGAGGGAGAGGAGGAGGAGGACGATAAGAATTAGGACGAGGAAGAGAATGAGGACTCGCGACCCTCAGGCCGCAAAGACCCTCACGCCCTCGCGGCGGCCCGTGGTAAGCGACCGATGGAGAGCGACGCCGTCGAGAGGCCACGGCTCTGCTGGCGCACGCAGGCGCCGAGCCCTCTCAGCGCCGAGGCCTCTCAAAAATACCGTTGGGACGTTGACCGAATGAAGGAACGATACGTAAGGAACGAAGCCCCCTTTTTTTCCAGACGTCAAACTTCGCCTTCCGATCGACAGCCGAAGACGAACCCACGGCAAATTTCAGAATTACACCAGGGAGAAACCCAAATAAGTGGATGGTTTTCGCTGAGGAGATCGACCGGGAACACGGGAGCCTGGGAACCCCGAACCCACCGAAAGTAGCCCGGAACCAATAGCCGGAAACCCTGCCTGCTACCAAAATCGGCGGGACACTTTCGCCACATCTTTCAACTTCCGCTAGGACCCCATTCAGTGCAAGTGCTGATTGGGGAACAACTAAGGGACGCGGAGTCCGTCCCCATCGGAAGGGGTCCTTTTTCGGCGCCCCGGGTGTAACGAGGTGCCAGCGGCGGCAGCTTCGCACGCCAGGCCGCCACGCAGGGTGTCCTCCCGTCTCGAGCCCCTCCCTCGGACCCTGCTTTCCTTCCAGATCATGGGCCTCGAATAGAGGAACATAACATGGCATAAACACTGCGCCTTGAATAGAGGAACGGAAAACGGCAGAAACATAAACCTTCGACGCCCTACGCGGATTTTTTCATCGGCGGCGGACGCCCCCCTCCATTGCGCGCGGAACGCGCCAGGGGCGGTGCTAGGGTAGCCGCTAGGGCTGCCCCAGCGCCGATCCCAAAAAACCGCGCGGACCTCCAAACATTTAGGTTTGCATTTTTCTGTGCTCGATGTTCTCGGGGTCCAGGGAACTCTCGGCCCCCTCCCTTGGTCCCCGTTTGTCATTCCCGATGGTGCGCCCTGGAACGTTTGAATTAAGCAGGGGCCGACCGTCCCGGCATTCCTATAGTCATACCACGAGATGCTCTTAGAACCCACAAATGTTCGAATCACAAAAACGAAGTTCTTAGAACATAGGCCCGATGTGTTTAAACAAGACAATATCAACCATTCATGTTCTAAGAACATTTCGTGGACACCGCAAAAAAAGGTTCTTATAACATTGTTTAGAAAGGCTATTGGCGAGCCAGGACGCTTCGCCACTGCTTGATTGAAGGCGTTGGAAAGGCATGGTGAAGAGGACGACGAGCGGGAACAGCCTCTCTCGTGCCCCGCCAACACACAGACACACTCTCTCTCTCTCTCTCGTCTTGGCGCTCTCTCTCTCTCTCTTTCTCTTTTTTTTTTTTTGTTTCTCTCTCTCTCTCTCTCTCTTGCGCACTAGTCTAATCGCAAATCCCAATGCACAAGAGAAAGAAGAGGGGGGATGAGAAGCGGGCTGCCCGCCGCCGCCGCCACCACGCGCCGCCCTCTCCCCACGCCGACTAGCCACAACGCGGAGACATGTGCTCTTTGCTCCTTGCCCCCCCCCCCTGGGTGAAACCATCGCTGGAAGGAGGGCAAGCCGCGCGAACGCGTGCGTTCCAAGCTCCGCGCGGAATGCTTGTGGAGCTGAAAGCTTATGTCCATGCTGTCGGTTTTCCCTTCAAATCGTGCCTTCCATTTCTCGAGAGGGGCGTCAGAGCCGATGGCCCCCCCCCCAGGGACTGCGTGGCAAAGACCACACTTGGGAGGGCGCCAGTGGTGCGCCACGCTGGTCGGTCGGTGAGAACCCTCTCCTGGTCTGGCCTGGCGAGCAGGCAGGACCCATGCGCACCGACCTGAGCCCGAACGTGGCGGCGCGCACACGGGGGTAGGGGGGGAGGGGGCAAGGATTTTGTTGAAGGAGGCTGCTTCTCAGAAGGCGCGGGCCTCACATCTGCAGGCAAGGCCCGCGCCTTCTAAGAAGCAGGGGTGCTTCTGTCGGGGATGGACAGAAGCCCCTTCAGTAAAACGTGGTTTAGTGAACACGACCTCGGGCCCAAACCTGACGGGCGCAAGCCTGGAAAATCACGGCCGCGGCGCCCTATCGGGAACCGCAAACGGCCAATCCACGAATCGACGTGTCAGGGTGGGGGTCCTGCCCACCCCCGATTTCTAAGAAGCCTCCCCCCCTCCCCCTGACCCCCCCCCTGCGCGTGGCCGAATGGAGGCCCGCGGAGCCTGCCCAGGAGGGCCATTCCGTCCCTGACCTTCCAGGAAAGCTAAAAACTGGCACCAGGACGTCGACGTCCTAATTCCTGCCGAGGTTCGAGGTAGTCCAGCTAGATATATAGGTCTGGAGTGTTATTTTTTAACCACTCTGGAAGGTCAGGGGTGCGCACCCCCGCAAGAAGCCCCACGCCGCCCTTCGGGTCGGGCGAAAGGGGGGAATCAGCTCACGTAGCTGATCTTCCCGGCGCCTCCCGGCGCCGGAGGCGGCTATGTACCGAGGAAGGGGCCCCTCGGTGAGGCCGAAACCAGCTGCACGCAGCCAATTTCGTCACCCCCCCTTTCCCAATCCCCCCCTCTCGCCCGACCCGAGCCCCGGACGGGCCCCCGGGCCGGCCAGGACCGGCGCACGGCTGCCCCGCCGAGCCGCCCCCCCCCGCCGCCGGGGGCGGCGCCCCTGGCGGCGAGGCGGCCAGTCTGCGGCCCCGCGCCGCGGCACGGGAAGCGGAGGGGGCGGTCGGGCAGAGGCGCGACGTGCACCGCGAAGTACCCCAAAACATACCACCAAAAATGCCCCAAGAAGGTAAACAACTATGCAAACATAGTCAAACCATATGTTAAAACAATACTTAAAACATACACCCAAAAATGCCCCAAGAGGGTCAACAAATACTCAAAAAGTAATAGTCCCCAGACTATTTTGGGAGCTTTTTTGGAGTATGTTTGGGGTGTTTTTGTTTCATTTGTCGACGAAAAACCCCTCCATAGGGGCACAGGCCCGACTTAAGCCTAGGAGGTGGACACCAGCACCAACATCGGCGGTGTGCCTCCACCGAGGGAAGAAGGTCCCGATCTCGGCGGCGGTGGCAGCATTCTGGCCTCCACGGTGGCCGAACCAGTACCACCGACGCCGAAGTCGAGGATCCTCTTCCCCCATGTGGAGGCAACCCCCTGCGTTGGTGTTGGTGCTCATTTCCAGGCCTCCAAATGCAGGCTTCATGCCCACAGCCCAGGCACGGTGGCGGAACGAGCCGAAGGCGATTCGATATCTGTGTCTGTGTCTGTTCTTTCTCTCCTGGGAGGAGCTCGACCGCAAGAACCCCAACCCCGAGACCCCAGGACGTCCATGGATGCTTGGTGTGGGCACGCCACGCTTTCCACAGCAGAACCATCGAAGCCAAAGAAACCCAGGGCCCCCTGGAGGCAAGCAGGGCGTTTCTTGGCATGGGTCTCCACTGCGAGCCTCCTCGCCGAGGTCCCCGCCATGGAACCACCCCAGACGAAGAGAACTTCATGGTCGAGAGCCCGAACACGGAGCGCAGAAGAGCAGCCTTCCAGGGCTCGCCCAGACATCCGACGACTGGAGCCCCAATAGACCCACCACCTCTCCGCGGCATCTTGTGCAAGCTGGATTTAGGTCGGGCATGTCCCCTACAGGCGGATTTTGGTCAAAAAATATATGAATTGAAAATGCTCAAAAAAATCAAAATAGTCAAAAGATAGTCCCCAGGCTACGCTTGACTATTTCTGAATATTCCTCCTGTAGAGGGACAGGCCCGACTGAAAGCTGGATCGCTCTGAGATGGCCCCGGGACCCGAGACCAGGCGAAGACGCCCGGTGGTAACCACGTCCAACGCCCAGATCTCAGGGCAAGCTGCTCTCAACAGCGCTCGTGCCAGCTGCATGTATAGCCTTGTGGATGCCACGACAATGGACACCCTGACAGTCTTATCGTCGAAGTAAACATGTGTTTGCAATCTAGGAGCAATGTCCTGAAAATGTTTACAGCATGTTTCCCTTTACATGTTTAAATCATGTTCACACATATCTAGACATCTGGAAATAATTTGGCAGCATGCTTCCTCTCCATTGATCGTCCTCCACAAATATGGTCGGGGACGAGCCGCACCGCGGGCGGTGCCGCCTCCCTCGCTACCCCCTCGCCGCATGCGGGCCGCGGCCTGCCGCGGATCTGCCACAGCACGCGGCGGTACTTCTTCGGGCTGCCCTTGAGGAACCGCGCCTTGCAGAGGGCCTGAGAGGCACGCGCACCACGCGAGGCGGTGGGCGCCACGGTGTGTGAGGCAGACCGGCGGCGAGCCCCACGGGAACGCCGAGGGAGCGGGCCTTGAGGAGGAGAAGGAGGAGGAGGAGAAGAAAGATGATGATGATGATGATGATGATGATGATGATGATGATGATGATGATGATGATGATGATGATGATGATGATGATGATGAGGAGGAGGAGGAGGAGGAGGAGGAGGAGGAGGAGGAGGAGGAGGAGGAGGAGGAGGAGGAGGAGGGGAGGAGGAGGAGGAGGGGGAGGGGGAGGGGAGGAGGAGGAGGAGGAGGAGGAGGAGGAGGAGGGGAGGAGGAGGGAGGAGGAGGAGGAGGAGGGAGGAGGAGGAGGAGGAGGAGGAGGAGGAGGAGGAGGTGGAGGAGGAGGAGGAGGAGGCCTCCCGCCTTCCAAGCAGCATCCTAAACCCTCTCCTCTGCAGACGCAGGCGACTTCTCAGAGGGCCGGAGTCGGCTTCCGAGGAGGGCCTGCCTGCCGCCGGGCCCGCGCCCTCTCGCTGCAGACGCAGGCGTCTTCTCAGAGGGCCCGCCTTCTGCGAAGCATCCTTACCCCTCGGGTGCGCCGCCGACTCGAAGCTCGCCATTCCAACTTTCCTGGAGACTCACCAGTGCCCCTCGAAGAGGTGCCCTCTCCCCGCGGCACACGAGGCAAGGAGACTTCGTACCTCCCCTGGCCCTGGAGCCGCTCGGCACAACAGGCGAGCATGGACCTCGGCCACAGTGCGCGTTGCCATATGCGAACTTGATGCTTGGGAGGCTCGGTTCGCTTGCTGCTGGCATGACGTGTAGATGGTTTGCGAGGTGGAAGACGAATGCGTGGGCGGGGACTGGACGCCGTGGAAACAAAGGGCAGCCAAGCAAATCCGCTGCGTCAATCCCTTCCGTCGCCCCAATGCCACGAGGAATGTATGCACAATGCTACTGGAAGGAACCGCAATGATTGGAGGAAACGAAACGGCATCAGCGAGCAGAAGAAAGATCGAAGAAGGTCAGCCTTGGAAGCAACCAGGGCCCATGACTGGAGCACAAGCCTAGAGTGATTACGAAGTAGAGATTCAATGAGCCACATCCGAACAAAAATGCGGTCCTGCTGCCTGTCCTCGCCCTCTTCGTCCTCGTCGTAATCGTAGTCGATGTCGTCGTAATCTTCATCGAAATCTTCGTCCTGGCTGGCACGCTAGCAAATAATGGAAACACACACAGACAAACAACGTATCACCAATTCCGCGACGGTGGTTAAGCAACCAACTGGAACCCGCTGGCGCGAGCCCCTCGTGCTCTGGCAGTGGGACCGGACCATCGAAGCGCAGAGGACAGACAAGAAACTGCGCACGAGGCAGCTGCGCGCAGACGGGGCCGCGACTTGCGAAGGTCACTGAAGCGCAGCCAGCTGGGCTGTAATAGTGGGGCCCCTCCTCTCACCATCCGAGCGATGCCAAGTCCTGTCGGGGCGCGGACTGTACGCGGGCGGAGCCGTTCTCTGAGCGCAGAGGAGGCACGCGACACCCGCCGCCGGGCTGCAGGCGGGGCCCCCCTGCGCGAGAACGAAGCTGATGACGGGTTTGCGCGGGACGATGTGCAAAAGGGTGCGCGAAAAGTGGAGGCCTGGAAATGGGCACCAACACCAACACAGGGGGTTGCCCCCACAGGGGGGAGACGATCTTAGACTTCGGTGCTGGTGGTAATAGTTCGGCCACCTTGGGAAGCCAGAAGGTTACCACCATCACCGAGATCTGGACCGTCTTCCCTCGGTGGAGGCACGCCGCCGATCTTGCTGCTGGTGTCAACCTCTACTCCTGCGATTAATGGAGTGGAGGATGTGGGGGGGGGCGCAAGTCTGGGCGAGGGAGGGGTGTGCGACGCCGATCGCTGGGGCCTCGGCCTGGCTTCTCTGCGGGGGCGAGAAGAGCGTGGGGGGTGGGGGGGGCCCTTCTGGACGAGGAGGCGCAGGAGCACGGGGAAGGGAGGAGGAGGGAGAAGAAATGAGAGGGAGGACGAGCATTGCGCAGCGGTCGAGGACAACGAAGCCGCAACCACACATAAGGGCTGGACCAAATAACGAGACCGTGAGGTACTTGACTATTGGAAGCACAAGGCCAATACGGAACGTGCGTGTGTACATACATACGCACATACATGTGCGTGCGTGAAGTATAGATGTACATGGCTCAGTACAACAGTGCACATCGATATATATATATATATATATATGTATGTATAGATACACACATATCTACATGCTGAACCCCCGCGCAAACAAGTCCAACACATTCCGAAGAATCGAGCCTGGAGATCGTCTCGGGACTCCGTGTGGCAGCTCACTGAGGCTACCTCGAAACCGTCTCTGGCTATCTTGGGGCTGTGAGGGGCGCTCGTGCACGCTCATCATCCCTCCTCTTCCTCCTCCTCCTCCGTTTCCGCTCCTCCTCCTCCTCGTCATCCTCCTCCGTTTCCGCTCCTCCTCCTCCTCCTCCCTCCTCTTCTTCCTCCTCCTCCTCCGTTTCCGCTCCTCCTCCTCCTCCCTCCGTTTCTTCCTCCTTCTCCTCCTCCGTTCCCGCTCGTCCTCCTCCTCCTCCTTCCCCCCTTTCTCCTTCGAGGGAAGCGGGAGGTCTCTGGAGGCTCCCCGAGGTCCGTGGTAGACCATGCCACGAAGACACCGACACCTCCACACGCCGGCGCTCAGCGATCAGTCGACATCCTCGGCAAGGCGAAAGAGGTTCTTCCCTGGAATTATGATTTTCCAATGGTGCTTGACGACCACATCCCAAAACTAATGTAGAGCACCCGGAAAACTGTAGAGAACGTGTCGGAACAGTGTCGGAGCAGTGTCGAACGAATGTCTCGCAGGGCCCGACACGTGAAAACCCTAGAGTTTCGATACTTGCTTGGTGCTCGAGATTCTTTCTGGCGGTCAAGGCTAAAGTAGGTTGGAACTTCATAACCCTGGAGGCGCCCTCGGATGCCATCCTCGTACCTCTTTGGCATCCTCTTCGGGCCTTCTCGAGGCGTCTGGGCAACGTCTGGGCAACATCTGGCGTCTGGGCGTCGGCCTTGGGTGACTTGACCCCCCCGCAGCCATGGGCAATCGTGCTGCAATCAATGCGTTGTTTCGGCCGCCTTGGCGGCGGCAGGGTCCGTGACTCGGCGTGAACTGCGCAACCTCGGGCGATCTCGGCGCTCGGAGGTCCCTTGGGATTCCTGATCCGATTTCGGTCGATCCTCGCGTGTGGGCATGCTTCTGCGGACATCGATGCAGACGCTCCTGGCCTGGAAACGTCGTCCAGTGTGTGGCCGCGAGGTGTCCGAGAGGCTTCGTGAGGTCTCTTGGGCAATCTCCCAGGAGCCCCTTGGAAGCATGGCGGGGGCCTCTGGAGGCCCCTCGGGTGCCTCTTAGGCCAGCTCGAAGGCGTACCGGGGGCCACTGGGGGCGTCTTGGGGGCTGGCTGGCGTCCTCGGCCTCGTGAGGTCCCTGTTGGGTCGAAAGAGCGCCTTGGGCCTTACGAGGGGGGGCCTCTTGGGGCGTCCTGGGGCCTTCTTGGTCTGCGTTGGGGCCCTCTGGAGAGCTTGGTGGGCCGCCTTAGAGCGATCGCATGGGCCTTTAGGACTTCTTGGGGGAGAACCCAGGCTTGCATCCGGGCTGGACCTAAACGCTGTGTTTCGTTATGTTGTCGTTTTGTTGTTCGTTTTGCTCTCAGTGTTTTCCTGTACCTCCCTGCCAAAACGAAAAAACAAAACACAGCCGAAGTCTAGCAAAACAGCGTCTAGGATCCTTGCGAAATTTGTATTGCACGCCAGATCCAAGTCGATGTTTCTGGACGCCTCCCTCCCACGGAGCATCGTGCAGGACGTGCACGCGAGGCCCCTGATTAGAGGCTTCTCAGGGGGTCTAAGAGGCCTCTCGGGAGCCTCTTGGGACTACTCTGGGGCCTCTTGGGACTACTCTGGGGGCCTCCACAGGCCTTGGACGCATCTTGGAGGTTGGCTGGCGGTGTCGGCGTCTTTGGGCCCCTCTTGGGGGTCTGTCGCCTGCGGCCCTCTTCGGGGGCCTCTTGAGCCATCTTGGGGCCATCTTGGGCACTCTTGGGACCTTCCTGGGCTTGGGGCGATCTTGGGGTCTTCTTGGGCAGCCTGAAGCGGTGGTCGGACACCAGGAAAAGCAATAATGTTAAAGCCCTTACAACATTGAAATTTGCCTCTTGGTATCCTCTTGGGGGGCGTCTACGGGCCTTCTGGGGCTGTCCGGGAGACTTCTGGAGCCGTCTTGATCGAATCTTGGTCCGTACCCGAGTGTCTGGGAACTCCCCTGGGCGCCCCAGACGCATCCTTGGGCCAGTCTGTGGGGGCGTGCTGATATATCAGGGAGCACCTGGAGCCTCCCGAGGCGGGCCCCGGCCACCATGCGGTGCCGCTACCGCGGTCCGCGACATCCCCCCCGCCCGCCAGGGTCCTTTAATATGTATGTCGATGTTTCTGTATATATATATATATATGTATACACGTGTAGGTACGTGTGAATGTATGTATATATGTCTGTCTGTATGTATGTATGGGTGGGTGGGTGGGTGGGTGGATGGATGGATGGATGGACATGTGGATGTATGCGTGTATGCATGTATGTATGTATATATATGTATGTGTGTATGCATGTATGTATGTCTGTCTGTCTGTCTGTCTGTCTGTCTGTCTGTCTGTCTGTCTGTCTGTCTGTCTGTCTGTCTGTCTGTCTCTCTGTCTGTCTGTCTGTCTGTCTGTCTCTGTCTGTATGTATGTATGTATGTATGTATGTATGTATGTGTGTACGCATGCATGCATGCATGTGTGTATGTGTGTTTGTGTGTATGTATGTATGGGCGTATGCATGTATGTATGTATGTATGTATGAATGAATGTATGTATGTGTATATGTATATAGTTGTGTATGCATGTATGCATGTGTATGTGTATATATATATATGTGTGCATGGAATGTGATGGTACGTACGTGTGTTCGCACGCATATACGTATGTATGCATGTATGTATGTGTGTATGTATGTACGTTGGTCGGTAGGTAGGTAGGTAGGTCGGTACGTACATACGTCTGTATGTATGTATGATATATGTGTACACTGATATATATATACCTAATTATATATTCATACGCACCTCTCCCAAGGAGTAAAACTCAGAGACGATTCATTGAGGGTCCCGTCCCTTCCGAGAGGTTTCTGGCCGATTCGCTCGGAGCAAACTCAGCATTCTGAACATCGGACGCACCCCTCAAGCTGATCGCGACGTCACAGTCCAAAGACACTGCTTTTCAAACCACTTTAACATGAAACCTTGAGCACACACAATGCAATTCAATCATGTTCAACTCGATACGTCGAAACTTGCAGGTGTGCTTGAAGCATCCTCAATATCGAGCCCCGTTTCAACACGATTCTTAAAAAAGGGAGCTTCGCCTCAGCCATCTTCCCAAAAGCGAGCCTCGGCGTCCAGCACACAGAAGATACACAGACGACACCTACAACTCAGACAACACGCAGAGAACAAACAGAGAACACACAGAGAACACACACAAGCACAAACAACACACAACATACGCATCACACACAACACAGCCAGCACAAGCAACACACACACACACATTCAACGCACACAAAATACACCTAACACACAGCAATCAGAACAGACATCACACACAATTCACACACCACGGCACACACAACACAGAACACACATCACACGCACACAACACACAACACACATCTTACAATCCGCGGACACACATCCTGCACATGCGTTAGTACGAGCATGGGCACTCACGTGCCACTTGTATACGTACATACATGCATGCATATATATATATATATATATATATATATATAAGCACAGATGTGTAGGCATCGATGTATGTATGTATGTATGCACACCTGGCAGGACCACGGGTGATCGACATGAAGAGGACTCGTGCGAGCGTAGCTGTTCATATCACTTCGACGACATGTGCGTTGCAATGGAGTGCGGCGAACAATGAATTACTCGGACGGTCAGACCCCGCATGAATATCTCCTTTGTGTACGAGTGCGTGACAATCGACGACTAACGATGGAGATGATGCTAGGATGCTAGGAAGTCAGGGTGCCAGACCCCGAGACACCACGATGCCATGATGCCAGGGATGCCAGGGTGCCAGGATTCCAGGCGGCCAGGACGCCATCAAGATCCGAGGATGCCAGGAATGCCAGGATACCAGGGTGCCAAGCTGCCAGGTGGCCAGAAAGTGAGGATGCCAGCATTTCACAATCCCAGAATGTATGTGCAATCTATGCGGTCTGCGGGACCTGTGGTATATGCGGTACATGTAAGGTTTGTGGAACACTCGGAACCCGTATGATCTGTGGGGCATGTGATATATGTGGGACTTGTGCGACCTGTGGAAACTGTAGGGCCGATGCCACCTGTGGGGCATATGGGGGGTTTGTGAGTCCTGTGGGTACGACCTGTCCTACCTATGGGACCTTTGAAACCTGTGAGGCCTGTGTGACCTGGGCGACCTGTGAGACTGTCAGAACTGCGGGGCCTGTGGCTGGATGCCGAGGATTCCAAGATGCCAGGGACCAGGGATCCCAAAGATAACCTCCATGCCAGGATGCCAGGGATGCCAGGATGCGAACGCAAACTCAATAGCAAGAACTACATTGTGGGAACAAGAACAGCCCGAAGTGGCTTACAACTGGTTCCGGACATTCGAAGTCAAGAACGCGAAGTGGCCTACAAATGGCTCCGGACACTCGAACTCAGTGCTGGGAGTCCAGTTCTGGCGACACGATGATCACAAAACTCGCCTGTTACAAAATTTGCCGATGGCCGCATCGCACTGGTAACATGAAGCGGGGGGGCATCGGGAGGAGGCTCCCGCCTGAGGTACGGTACGGTACTCCCGATCGGCACAGAGGCCGTGGCCTGCTACAGGCTACGGGAAATCAACTCGCGATAGAGTGGCAGGGGCAGGCTCACAATCTTTCGACTGCGCCTGGGAAAGGCAGTGCTGTTGCCACTCAGAGAACACGCGAGACTGCCTGAGACTTCCCCCGAAGTCAACCCTGATCAAGACTAAGCATGGAGTTCTGGCGACTCCATTACCACATAACCTGTTTTTACAGAGTGTGTGCCGATGGCCGCCCGGGAGGAGTGACATGAAGCGCGGGCCCCACAGGGAGGGGGCTTCCGCCCGAGACTTCCTCCAACGCCGGTCGGTCAGGACTGGCAGTGGAGGTCTGGCGAAACAGCAGTGATCACAGCACTTCTGCTTGCGAAGGGCTCGCCGATGGCCGCCTCGGACTAGGAACACGACAAGAAGTGGGGGGCCCGGAGGGATGGGGACCCATTGGGCGCCCGAGTTATCCGGGGTAACTCGGGTCCGGGGTAACTCGGGTTCGGAATCCCGAAAAACGAACCCGAGTTAGCCCTGACCCGAGTTACCCCTGATGATTCGGGGCTCTGAACCCAGGAGCCCCCCCCCGCGAGGAGGCTCCCCGCGGGGACCTGCTGGTGCCCGCCCCGGGAGCGGCGCCCCCCGGCGAGGCTGGGGCAGGGGACCCCCGGCGCCCGCCGGCGAGGCGCTCCATGGGGCGAGCGGCATCCCCTCCTCAGGGCACGACCCTGAGATCCGACGTCGTGACTTTTTGCTCCATACAGGTCGACCCTGCATGCCTGAGATGTCGTCCCATTTCAGTCGCGGGCGGGGCCCCCGCTCAGGACTTCCTCAACGCGAGCGCGTGAGCCTGTGACCAAGTGCATGAAAGCGTCATGGCGACGACTCCCAATCATGGCGTGATGCTGAGTGCTGGCGATGATGCAGTCAGTGTGTGGGTGGATGTGTAAGGTAATGATGGTGATGAGCGTGAGAGGAGAAATGGAGGAGAGGGTGGGAGGAGGACTACGCGGGGTGTCCAGAGAAAACAAAAGCCCCACTCAGGATCTGGATAATCATGGCGCCAGCCTCCAATCACAATGCGATGCATCGGCCGAAAAAGATAACATACAATGACGAAATATGTGCCGAACTGCACTCTGTGTCAAAAGAGAGCAAACACTTTTAGGATACAACAGCCGGCCACGTCGTACTCGTCATCATCTTCATCCACTGTGGCGATGGCCTTGGTGTCGCTGGCCTCAAGACAGAAAGGAGAGGGCATGAGCAGATCGCCACGCCGGATGCATACATATCCAGACATTGCTTCGTTTAGCTTGCAATGCTGATAGTTTCAAAAATGTGAGCATGCGATTATCTTACACGACCCAGAAATCGCCAAGACGAGCTCAACCATCCTTCTTGCATCCTAATACCTACGCTGCACTGCCCTGCTATACTGCAGCATCGTGTTGGAGAGATCGGCTTCTGTGTCCGCTGCATTGGTGGCGAAATCCCAACCCCACTCCCCTCCTAGGCATCTCGAAAGTGGGTCCGGCTAGATGGGGGAAATGCTCTGGGAAATTTGTCACTGAGTCGTCACGCTGATGGGCCCCTGCAGTGCAGTTGCAGGAGATCGTGTGCACCCTGACTGACTGAGCTACTGCTGTCTCACCCCACTCCCTCCCCCCCCCTCTTCCCCCTCCGCGCCGTAGGGCTTTTCCGTGCTTGTAAAGGTGTGCACCCCGGCCTTTTGTTCCTGGGGTCTTCAATGAAGTCGGGCGTGTCCCCCTACAGGGGGATTTTCGAGGACATGTAAAACACACTCAAAAAATACTCCATAATGGCCAAAGAATACTCAAAACATAGTCCCCAGACTATTTTTTAACTACTTTTGAATATCCCCCCTGTAGGGGGACAGGCCCGTCTTACGTCTTGAGGCCTCGTGCGGGTCCGAGGCGCCAAGGCCCGCCGGTTCAACGCAAGAGGGTCTGCGACCCCACCATCGGCACCGGACTAGGGTCTTGGGCACCCCCTCCTCCCTCCTCCTCCTCCTCCTCCTCCTCCTCCTCCTCCTCCTCCTCCTCCTGGTCCTTCTCCTCTGCCTCCTCCTCGCTCCTCCTCTTCCTCCTCCTCGCTCCTCCTCGCTCCTCTGCCTCCTCCTCCTCCTCCTCCTCGCTCCTCCTCTGCCTCCTCCTCCTTTTCCTCCTCCTGGTCCCTCCTCCTCCTCCTCCTCCTCCTCCTCCTCCTCCTCCTCCTCCTCCTCCTCCTCCCCTGCCCCCTCCTCGCTGCAATACAAACCGAGGGCTGCAACATTATCGGGGGCGTGCAGAGCAGTCCTGTGCGCAGAGGTACTGCTCGCAATACGACTGTGGCAGATACGAGTCTCTGGCGACATGCATCTGCAATGCCTCGTGCGCGCGCCTTGCAACTGCAACGCGCGTGCAGTGCCGGACAAAGCACTCCATGCCAAGCGCGCCAGCTCTTGATGCGCCTAGTATCGAGGATGAGCCGCAGAAGTCTTCGGAAACATCCCGAGACTGTCTGCCAACTGCGCGTTTTCTTTGCATGTCCCTGGCCCGTTGGGAAGCATACGTTGCAACGAACGGCAGGAAGGCACCATCACTGTCGCATGGGTCCGTGAATATTGCACTACCAAATTAGATGTTTGCCACGTCTCCCTTTTACCAAGAGCCCGTCTTGCTCTCCTACAACCCGTGGAAGCGAGACCCCCCCCCGTTCGACAATCCCTCGTCTCCAAAACCGGGACCCTCCCCCCGCGGGAATTCCCCCACCCCCTCCGTGACCCCCCCTCATCGAAAATGGGAGTCGGAGGAGTGGGGATGAACCCACCCTCGGCGATGGCAAACGAACGACAACGACGACGAGAACGACGACGACGACGTGTCACTTCCGCTCCCCCGACCGACGCGCTCACGACAGCGACGGACCAAGATGCCCACGGCGACGACTGCGACGGCGAGGGCGACGACGACGAGGACCGACAGCGGGCGGGACACTCAGTCGGGCGGGCGGGACATGAAGTGAAATCCTCGCCGAAAAAAACAAGGCTGAGGCACAAGAAGTAAGTGGGGACGACGACGACGACGACGACGACGACGACGACCACGGGCGACAGATTCAGTCGGGCGGGCGGGACATTAAATGTAACCTTGGCTGGTTGATGGGGCAAGGATGGTTGTTTTCAGAGTCCACCATCGGAAATCGGAGGGATGGCTACGACCTCCCCCTGGGCTTTCGAAATGAAGGGTCGTACCCTACCAGGCTTCCTCGCAGTGTGCACGAGGTACGCCACCTCTGATGTCAATCTATATTTCGCCGTGATATGCGCCCCATGGTTGTACAATGTGCATAACCTCGTCGCCTTGAATGATGTTCTGCGCTACATGACCGCAAGCGTTACTTTTTGCTCTTGCAGACAACCGACAGGCACTTCCCATTACCAATTCTACTAGCCCCCTGGGCGATGTAGGTCTGACGAGTTGTTATCTTCCCTCTTCCAAAACTCCTCGTGCCCCTGCTAGGGGGAGGGGTCTCATTCCTCCTTACCCGTATCCTCCACCGTGCCGCTGGGCACGGAGTGAGCGTATCCTCAGGTCTATTTTGCCTGATCCTTGAAGCTCTCCGAAGAAACTTTAAGAAAGGGCGCGGATGCCAACTTCT